TACGCTGAAAGTTTAAATCAAACATTTACCAAAAATTTAAACTGAAATATTATTTTCAATTCCACTACTTAACTATTCACTATATGTCTGGTAATCAGAACACCTTCAAGTTTCATCTTGACCTCAAGTTAAAAATCAATTTAATCAATTCTGAAGGGGTTCATCTCAGATAACTTTAGAAAGTAAACAATTAAGTGAATGTTGAATTCATGCAACATGTTTACTGTTTTTATTTTTACCCCTTCTAATCAATTTCATCTCTCTTTACCAACAAACTTCAACATCGAATATATTGGGTCTCCAAATTCATCAACAGCACATCAAATACCTGAAAAAAAAAAACACAGCACATCAAATACCTGGAAGATTCTGTTGATGAAGTCAAAAAAAATATCGAGGAAAATATATTTGTAGACACTTGATTCCTTAAGGAATTTTAAAATAATTGTCTCATACTTGTATTTTACAATATTTATTTTCAACTTTATTTCTTTATAAATTTTGAGTGTATACACATTGTATTGCAAATTTAATGCGTATGCCAAATTGGAATAATTATTGCATGTCTATGAGCTATAAATAATATGTATTTATGATAGGATTTAACACAAATTATCAATATTTAAAGACTTGATTCTCTAACATTTCAACAACTATAGTTATGAATGTATAAATTCACACGAGAAAAGCCCACATGAAATATTACTTTTGTAAAAACTATCTATTCATATGATATTGAGCTTGAATACATGTACTTTATTCTTGGTCCATTTTACATTACCTAAAATACCTCATGTTCATCACTGCTTTTGTGTCATGTCTCCAAATACTGAATAAAAACCATTACCGACTTACACGTAGACCCGGGCATTTCAAACAAACTTACAACATTAATGTTTAATTTCCTGTGCATTATTATTGTTCTATACAATCCCCCATTTCTATTTTTACAATTAATTACATTTCATTGATTTTGATTTGAAACATAGTGGTATCAGGTTCAATACTTCATACATACTGTAATGAATGAAATTTTTTTTTCATCAGAATATTAAATAAATGTACTATTGTATATATGATTATTTATAGTAACATAACCTTTGAGAAATCTGGTGAAATCTGCCTAGATTGGAAGACTCTTAATGTAACCAAAAAAAAACCCCTCTGTTCCTGAATACCGAGTTCAACTTCGGTATCTCAAACATCAATATATAGGACACCATAGATACCACACCTGTGAGTTGGAAGTCCCTCCCAATGTTTTTTAACCTAGCTTAATTACTTTCTCTAACTCTTGGATATCTCTGGGGCCCCAGTCCCATGGAGTTGGAGATAAGGTTTGACTGTAAATAGAAATCAATTATTTATGACAGTGTTCAATTTTTAGAGCAAAAATTTATCTGCACATTAAAAATTACATCAAAAATGAATGTATACATGTATATGTATTTTTACTTGAGGTTTTGTGTTGTCTGAATATATACGTTTACCATATATGACTGTACACATCATGACATGAATATTATGCTTGCTTTTTTAATTTACTGGCAAATAACATATATAAAAAAAATTGTTTTTCCTCTGAATGATATATAATTTACAATTAGGGCTGTCACGGTTCCCCAAAATAACAGAAAACCTCAATTCAAATTGAAGTTTTTTTTCTTCAAGTCTAGTTTGTAAAAATGAATCTGTTTACAAAAAGAATGGCATCGAAATAAAAAGTGTGGACTTAGGATCGCAGTGAGTTAAATATAACTGAAATCCATGACAAAGCAGAAAAATTATCAAAACAAGATTGGCTATTTTGTCACTAAATAGTAGGCCTAATAGACCTTACTGACAACCTCCAATGTCATTTTCAAAAGTGAATTTTGTTTTCATAACAAATAACGTTTTTTTGTTTTTTAAAAAGTTTCTTTCATGATATTTAAGCTTAAAATATAATGTCAACAATTGAACCAAAAACCCCAAACCCAAATTGAAAATTCCTGGATATACCTGACCTGAAAATTTTGGGAACTGTGCAGGGCTCTGCATTACCCATTTTTCTTACTTGTTCATTTAGACAAGTGACTGTGAAATTAACTTCTCCGAACATAACTTTACTTGTCCGAAAATATTTCAAAAAAGAACTATTTAACAACTTGAAAAATATTGTGAATTAAAATAGAGTCTATAATACATTCACCAATTCTGTTTACGAGTTTCTGACATATATTGGAAATTTAGAAACTAAATAAGCTCTATCCTGTCCTAAGTATTGGTAAATGCTATATATAAAATATTATATAATAATTATAAATGAATAGTAAAATAGCAACAAAAAGAAATGCATCAAATGTTTATTTACCTTCTTTCTCTAATCCTTTGTATTACCCTTGTCTTCTTTCGATACCCAATACTAAAAATCCAAAATTTGTTAGATTCATATATTAAACTAAAATCAAACGTACTGCCTCCATAGTAACTTTGATCACCATCAAGTTTGATGACCAGGATCATTATTACTTATAATGATCAGGATTGAAGTTAACTATTTACACACTGCATGCTTTTGATTTCAAACTTTCAATAAAAAGTTGACATTTTCATTTTCAACCTAAAATAATTCTTCACAGAAAAAAAATTACTGGTCCAATTGGACAAGTGCCCATCTTGTCTGTGAAAAAGTTAACTATTTACGCACTGCATGCTTTTGATTTCATACTTTCAATAAAAAGTTGACATTTTCATTTTCAGCCTAAAATAATTCTCCCCCCCCCCCCAAAATCACTGGTTCAATCAGACAAGTGCCCATCTTGTCTGTGAAAAATTTTCACTGGTACCAGACAAGTGGACAAATGTTTACTTAATGTCGAGCCCTGCTGTGATGCCCTATACTGTTTTTCTGCTGACGAGATTGAACTAGAGACCTTTTTAGGTCTCTGATAGAAGACTAATTTCACATTCTTAAGAGTTATCTCCCATTTTCAACGTAACACTCATTTTTCTCACTATTTTATTTGTAACTTACCTGTAAATATTTTCAACCTTCAAACGCTTTCAGAACATTTCGAACATTCCTGTATTCTCATAGTATGGGGTAAAAAACAAAAAGTACATATACATACAGACGTCATTGTATGACATTTCCCATTAAGTTGGTAATGTTAGAGAGAACGATAACTCTGGATAGAGAATTAGAAAACAGTGCCTTATGCCGGATGACCCCCGATTTACCCCGCAAGGGGAAATAACTCTTGTAAATGTGGAAGCGAAAGTCGTTCCATCTTTTAATGAAATTGGAATCCCTGGAAAAAAAATTGGTAAGACTTGCGAGTTGGAGTGACAAACATTATGTCTATCAAACTACAAATAACTGCATAACGGAGGACTGTGTAATAATTGAGCACTCCCACTCTCAGGAAACTTTCCTGGAAAATGCACGTGCCAAAACCCATCAATCGAAAAAAAGTTATGTACTGAATTCTATTTTGTATACCTTTTAAACAAAATAATGACCCAACAAGCTGTGTAAAATAATTGATATTCAGCACCGCCAATGAGGACATTTTCATGAATCCATGATGCTGCACGAAATTACATAAACATCTGGCGGGAAATTTTTTGGAATACCAAACCCGACATTTTATGAAATGATAAATATAAATAATCTTTTTTTTAACTTATAAATCATTTTTTTTTTATTCTTTCAATTTTTCATATTGATATATAACAAAAGATTATTTAGAAGAAAGATAAAACGAATATGTAGTAAATGCCCTTCACTACAGCCTTTGATAAATAATTAAAACTGCAACATTTGAACATTGGTATTCAAGATTTATAAGCTTTCAAATATAACTGTCAACAATTAAAAGACATGGGGTTAATTTATTAAATAAAGTCAATTACAATTATACAAATGATTACAAATTTTTGTACTCAATATAACATCAAAAAACTGCCATAAATTAACAAGAAATATATAAAAAATAAATATGAAGACAAAATATGAACACAGAAAAAATGTATATAAAATTTACATAATTTATCCAAACCCATATCATTGATTAGCTGCAGAAACACTTGTATTTTTTAACCAAGGTAAAAATTGAGCAAGAATGTTTAGGAATGAGTCATATAAAAATCCTAAGCAACAAGAAAGATCAAAGGTAAGCATTTGTTCAAATTTCCTGCTATTTTTTACCATAATTATGAAACTTAAGGTATTAGTAATTCAATTCTTTTACAAGACCAACATAAATTATGTTTTATATAAAATATTATATAAAAATAATATAAATCTTCCTATAAAACCATACAAGAAATAATGAAAATGTGCAGATTTTTCATATGGCACAGATCTGTTCTTGTACAATAAATGAACAAAAACAAATAAATAACTGAATTGTATTCCATTAATGCTATAGTTGCAATACGAATCCAAAACAAAATACTAGTCACAAAAATACATGTATGACTGTAAAAACATACATGCATCATGTAAAAAAAAAAGTCAATAATTTTGTTTTTAAAAAATTACAATACATACTGTATGTGTACATAAATTGATGTATTCAACATTTAGCGCAATCACTGGGTATAGAGTTGTTGGCGAAATCATGAATTAGCGCTTACATGACCGTGCCACATATTGTATTTATAAATGATTTCTTAGCGGTATTCATGAATTAGCGCATTGTTGTCTGCACCAAAGCCGCTAAAATATTAAGCCCGCTTTTTTAAGTACACATACAGTATGTGCAAGTACACATAAAAAAAATTGTACTATAAGTATAAATTTATCAATTCAATGCAACATTTGAAAATGATATGACTACTGACTAGACATTTCAAAAATACAATTAAAAGTTGGTTTTAACTTATTTTTGGCACAAATAATATGAAAATCATTTTGTAAGCTATAACCCTTTTAAGAATGCCATTATGTACCTGGTAGTTTTTTTTTTTTAAATATATATATATACATGTATAACATACAATTTATATCTCATTTAATTCACAAAGTAATATTTACAAAACATATTTGCTTTTCTTGTGTGTTTGATTCTAATTCTTATTTATTAAGTTTTGCAAGCTTATATTCTTAAGCACAACTTACATTTAATACAAAAGCATAAGAAATTTTGTGAATAATTGAAATTTAACTCTTTAATGTCTTGTTACTGGGATGCCATACACGCAATATCTCAATTGGAATGATGTCATCATAAAGGAATATTTTTTCTGTTGGTGGATCCATAATTTCATACCGAAGTCCTTTACCACCTATTAAAATTAGATAAACAAGTTTAGAGCAAATACTCTGAAATAAAAGCAGGTATCAATGCTTTTTTTCTCTCTAGTTACAGGTAAGTTTACTTCGACCATATTCAACAAACACACACATGTAGATGTACATAGAGATTGATAGAAAGAAACCTTATAATCAGAGTTGTGCTTATAAAATTTATAAAATGCTTAATGTTTTCCGACAAAAAAAAAGAAAACAGAAAATTTACCTTTCAATCCCTGTGAAGCTTGAATATTTCATCCGATTTATCATTTATTACATGTATAATCATTCAGAGTGAAATCTATATGTCATTAGGGCTGGGACGATACAACTTTTTCTGTATTGAAACATATCATGATATTTGAACAACGATACAATATGTATCACGATATGTTTAATTGGTTATTAAATAATTTTTTTTTGTATTGAAATGAACAAAACACTCCTTCACAAATTAAAATAATTTATTCAAAGAAGTATATCTGTTGTAAAACAAAATTATTTTACACAAGTGGTGTTAATTATTATGTATTTCATATTTATATTTATATTCAGCATATTTATCTTATATATTAAACCCAAAATGTTTAGTACACAAAGAAAAACATGAGTCAGAATTTTTTTTTTGCGATATTTTGATATTTCTTTATACATATCATAATCGATAGGCTTATCTTCCTCATACAGAATCGATATTATTGATATCTCGATATATCGTCCCAGCCCTATATGTCATTGGCACATATCACTTAATGTATTAATCCTTACCAAGAGCCACAAGGAAATGATCCCTTGTATCTTCATTCCTAACTGTGGATGCAATGTATGCCACAGGCCAGGACCCAAATGCACCAGACAAGAATTGGTACAATACCTGCACCAGGAAAGGAATGATTGATTTATCATAAACCACATCTGAAATACAGTCAAATTCATTATAAAAATGAGAAAGTTCTTTTGAGGCTTGATGTTAAAATATATAAAGTGGTTGAAATATGAAGAAAATTGTCTTTTGACTCAAACACTAATGCGGGTCCAATGCATGAACTCATCCATGAACTTTTCCAGACCTACTATTTTACAAAAAATTACCACTGTGAAATCTTGTTTTACCGGTAGTTTCCTTAACAAGCAAAATCTTAATTTGAAAGTGATATCTGATAAGCAAGCCAAGAGTTGTCTTTCCTACCTGCTGCAACTAAAACATCTGGTCGAACCTCAGACAAATCTTTCTCATTGCAAAACTCCCAGTTAAACTTCATCAGTCTGACTGTCTCACTGTGCTTCAAAACATACACATTGGAATCATTCAATGGTTTCCAATGAGAGTTTGAGGAGAGAAGCTGCTCGTTACTGTTACTCACTTCCTCTTCCTGTTCTGAACCAACTTCCTGTTCATCTGTTTCAACAGTTTCTACTGAGGACACCATGGAACTGTAACTGATCTGCATTATTTCACAGCTATCTTCTATTGCAGCTGGTTCTTTGGTTACACTTATTTGTTTTTTGATCTTTTTCAACATTTTCCTGTCTTTAGACTCGCAATTTTCTAAAAGTTGTGGTGAACATTCCAGGGAATATTGCTCATTGAGGAAATTGATTTCAATGTTTTTCATGAGGAGGAACAAAACTTGTGGATGGAAGTCACTAAACGTAAAGGAATTCATTTTACACTGTTTACACAAGGCTATTCCTAGAAAACCAAGTCCACTGCCAAGTTCAAGCACATTTCTGAAGAGGGAAAAAGAAACTATACACATTGCTTTTTACTCCTTTTAAAAAAAAATAAAGTGTCAATAAATCTGTAAATAGGTCATCTCATTGTAACAGTTTTTGCCTCTGAATGGATTTGAACCCGGAACCTATGGCATGCCAGTCTGTTGCTCTACCAATTGAGTTAAAGGGTTAACCCACTAGTCCAAGCAGGTAAAATGTCATGTATATTACACTACCACATTATTAAAACAGGAAAAAATACTCATATTCAACACTGGAAACTACTCAAAAGATTAAAAAATATAATTAAAGCTCAAAACTTACTTATTTTTAAGGAGAGATTCATGTTCAAAAGACCATTCTGCCAAATGAAGAGAATTAAGCCTGCAAAATACATAAACAGAAGTATAACCATAGTACATGTGTTATCCAATTCCCCCCACCCCATCCGGTCAGAGTTGCCAACTTCCAACATGTAAAAAAAAAGAATCGATCATGACCCTTGATCTTTGGAAAGTAACATATATGGTCATAATGCATAACGACATTCACAACACCTTCTAAATTCATTGATAAAATTTACATGATAAATTTGCATGGTCTCATTGTTTAGTATTGACCTGAATTAAGTGTGTATTTTATTTTTTAAATACTGAAAGCCCTTTTAGAATCTGCATTGCTGTTGTAAGAAAAAGGGGAAGTTTGAACAATTTCTGAACTTCGGTATCTTGAACACTGATATCTTGAATACCATGGATATGTCAAAGTGATCTGGGAGTATACCAACCACTTATTCTTTAAGTATTTTATCTCCGATATCTCGAAGTTTTTTTCTCGGTCCCACCAGGTTTGACTGTATGTCAAATCTTTGTTTTTAAGATATTGGTTATCTCCAGACCTTATAAACAAGTGCAATTAACATATAACGTACAGTAAACCTCAAACTATCTTCGATCACTTTATTTCATCCAATGAAAGTTGTTTTCCAAGATTCTTTGATAAAAATTGTTATTTTCTTTTTGTTGTTGTTGTTCCTGCTGGCCCTGATAACAATCTCATTCTATCAGAAGTCATTTTATAATGACTTCAAACTTTGATTTGTCAAAACAACCCCCAGATAATTTTTAACACCTGCACTGATAATTTACCTGTACATACTGTACCATTGCTATTGGCATTGTTTACATAAATCCAAACTTATGTTGCTAACTGGAAATTATGTGTGCGAACTAATTTAATTTTTAGGTTGTTTGGTGAAAACCGGGTGATAGGCATGACTCGCAATGTCATAAAAAATAATCAAGTTGTGGGCCAAAAAATCGGGTGCAACCCTACAAAATTGGGTGTGTTAGCAATTTTGCCCCCCTGTAGAAACAAATTGGTGGGTCTGGTCTTAAAAATGAATTCCAGAGACAACTTTGATATCCAAAACATTTTTTTTTCATTTAGACCTACCATGCTCTCAGATAAAACATTGTGCATTTATTTGCCCCTTGTCTCACGATCATTGTAAGTGTAGTCAATGTAGTACCTATGCCCATCTCTCAGTTACAGTAAAACATACTTATAGCAAAGTGCCAGGGACCAACAATTTTGATTCGTTATAAATGTAGTCTGTTATATCCGTTCAGTTCACAAACCATTTTAAGGTATGTCACTTGTGACATGAGTTACATGAAGGATTTTTTGAGAAGTATATTTTAGATAACTACTCATATAGCATGACTCAAAATTGCAGAGAAATTTGGGGGTCAGTGTGCATCTTACTGAGCAAAAGTACAATTAACTTGACCTTTTTGCACTTAAATTGTATCTTTCAGATTAATTTTAACTTTAATTATATTTTACCAAATGTAATCATGGCAATAAATATAAATCTAATTTTATGTAAAATAGTTTGAATAATATTTACAATTGAAAAAATCCTGCAAATTAATGTGTGTGAATTATTGGGTGACCTTTCTGCACTAAAAAATATCATATTTGGGTTATTGAAAATCTTAATGGACAATAAAATATTTTCTTGTATCAAGCTTTTTATTACTTTAATGCCGATCTGTTGGAAGTATCACATAGTTCAAAAAAATCTAAGAAAAAGTTGGGGTCAGTGATGTACATGTAAATCTTGAGATATTGGTCAAAATATATGCTACTTTCAGGCAAAAATCAATGCATATTACATCCCGATAACAGAAAGCATTTTCCGAGTAAGAATATGTAGGGCTAAAGTTACAAGATATTTAATCAAACAAATGTGTAGATTTGAAGAATTTTCTTCTGAATATCCTTCCACCACAAGAAATAGTCCCACCATAAATCTTGTTTCTTTACAATTTTGTGAGCAGTTTTTAAATTGAATAGTATAGTGTATAATTTGCATTGTTTAATTCAAATATGTCATAAAAATTGAATTGTAATAAATGATTATGAAGTTAGAGGTTCTGACCAAACTTTTTTCAGAAGCTGACAAGTGACATACCATAAAACCACGGAGAATGGCAATCACTTTGCCGTAAGTGTGAACGCATTATAAGCGTGTTCACCATAACCATGTTTTACTGTATTCTACAACATCTGGGCAACAGCTACAGATCAAGTTTAATGTTTCAAACCTAATGACACCTTTTAAAAGATAAACAGTCCTTGAATTTTTAAACATTTTTTAAACAGAGCTAAAGGCATATGACACTCCTGGTGGACTGACATATCTAAGATTCATTTAAATCTTTAACAAATCCAATAAACTCACATTTCTCAAGGAAAACCCCGTTTTAATTTTTTTTTTTTTTTACTTACAATAAAATGAAACAAGGAGGAACAAATAAATTTTTATTAGAGATTCTTGAATGACTTAAGTCTTGAATTCCTCCATACCTGCCATGTACTGAGGCCAGTGGTGCCTTGTGAGATGATGTGCACTGACTCCTGAAGGTTCACTATTTCTTTATTGGGCTTTAAATATAAACAATACACACATTAACAAGAATAACACAGACATATAGCAAAATACCCTGCTAAGGACAAAGGTCAGCTAATAATATTATCACAGAACAAATCTTCAAGCATATATCAGCTAGTGCCTGTAAATTAACCACATGACACATTCATGTAGTTTATTATACAATAGTTTTGAAGACACACTGAATCAACAAAATTTAGAAAAAAAAATAGATCAAATTATTATTCCTTACATGAAAAATATGAAAAGCCCTTATTTTAATCATAATTTTATCTTTTTTAGCATGCCTATGAGTACAATGCACTGATAAAGCACTGATTGAATGAAATTGCTTTATTTTACAGATTACTAGATTCTGAATCTTGTTGTAGCAGAAAAGCTGCAGGTCTGAAGCTCACTGGTGTTAAGAAAACAGGCATTTGTTGGGGGAAAAAAAAGAATTACAGGGTACAATATTTTTCCTGCATAGAGATAAAAAAATTCCCTCTCACCAGAAAGTAAGATTTGTAACACAGAGTGTCGTCCTCTACATCTGTTTCCTGAAGCAGATCTGTGTAGACCTCATAAATCTCATCACATAATTCCACATCACTGTCTTCAAGCTAAAAAGTTTTAAAATTTAAATTCTACTTTATGACATGATGAAGATAAAATATGGTACGATATGATACAATGTGATACAATTTGATATGATAAAAATATATAGTGAAATATCTAATTTAATTTTTTATCAAACTGCAATTTACAATTTCTTCAAGGTGCAGATATTATGATAAATCCAAATTAAATATGTAAAATAACCAAAGAATTTGTACTAATCAAAATTCCTCCTTGGCTAAGGGCAGTGTTCTTACCTACCGGGTAAATATTTTATTGAAATCCATTCTCAACAGAGAAAAAAATATCTTGTAAACAAAAATATAAAAGACAAACATAGACAATATAAAGACTATGCACCTTTCCACTTTGTTGATGAAGGTATTATTGATGCTATATATACTGTACGTGTATATTTACAAAATATTTTACCCCATTTCTGAGTAGTTTAATTTAAAATATTGATTGTAATTCATTAAATACCACTTACAACATTGTCTCTTTACCTGGTACTAATGCGATAATTTGGCTACAATACTTGGCTTAGTTTCATGTATTGTTATAGTAAATTCATTATGTAGTCATCTGACTGGTTAGAGATTGATAACTATCAGTAAGTTTAAGACCCAGCTAGCTTAAGCATCCAGTAATAAGTAAACCTTCCTAGCAAAAACGAATATACATGTCCTGTAACTGTTCTGAAGATGACATGCAAACAATCTTGCCTTCTGAATCAGATGCTTGACAAATGCCCGTCGATAGCTAAGAGAGGTTGGGTATTTGTTACACAAAGGACTGGTAACTGTAGCTTCAAGCACTGCTTGTTGCTCCTCAACTCCAATACTGACTGGGCAAAGAGACTCTCCCTGAAAAAAAAAACATTTTAATTTTGTTTTAGTTAATTTGGAACGACTTTACCAGTCCCCAGAAAAATGTGCTAAAATATAGTGTCGCCATAGGTGACTTCAATATATATGAGATCGCATGAGCGATCGAAAAATATAAAAAGTATGAGGTTTTAAGCCTTTTTTACCCCGAAATTGAATTCTACAGTTAAAAGTTTAGTTTAAAACTTCGTTTTTAAACCAAGTTTTTAACCTCATTCTCTGAAAAAAAGTAATAAATATTGTTTATTCATTGATAAGAGTGCAACAATAATTTGACAGTGTATCGCGGTATATTTTTCCATGGTTCAATTCACAATTCGCTAATATGATATCACGGTTCGGTTCAATCGGTCCAGAATTATCCGAATCGTCCGTTTTGTTTCCTTATTTACAATTTCAAAATCGCTTCCGCCCAAAACATGAGGTCGACGATAACACTGTAACGGCTATTAAACTCATCTCCAGCATCTTACAGACCTAAGATTTAACAGGGTGAAGGACATTATCCCATTTCTAATGTGATTAAAAGTTATAGATGTTAAGACAAGTGAAAAACCTTTAGATCTGAAAGTATTCTATGGTAATGCACAGTATCTCAGCATGCTTGTATTTCCAACTTGTGGACTAGAACGTGATAACATGAGAAATATGACTACTCAATCTGATTAAAATCTGAGCATCGAGGATCTGATTTTAATCAGATTGTATGACTACTGGTTTTCTAGGAAATAAAAGGAACAAAAGAATGAATGTCTTCCTTTTTCATTCCAATTTAAAAGGAAAGATTATGAGGAAAGGCCCTCTTCTATAGATAAGTCATATCTGAACTTTGAATCCAGGCTACCGTAGTTCCATGTAAATGTTCTTCAATGGTTTAGAATATTGTTAAAACTCAAAGTTCTACCTAACAATCCAAATAAAGTTAACAAATTGATATTTAAATTATCAAAAAATATGAAAATTTGATATAGCCCTGTCAAGTTTCAAAAAATATGATGACAAACTTGAAAGACTTCTTTACCTTGTCATGTATTGTGATGCGTATCGTATCGTGAACTGAATACCATGATACGTATCATATCGTGAGGTTGGTGTATCGTTGCACCCCTATTCATTGAAAAGAAGACAAAAAATAATTGTCAAAGAAGCGCATGCGGCGCATACTTAGTGCCGTTTCTTTCGTACTTATTAGCCATTTTTTTCATGCAAACAAATCAACGAGATGTTGTTGAAGCTGAATTAAGATCTTACAAAAAATACAGATGCATCTAAATTTCCTAATTAATCTAAAAGAACAAGACACTAACCCTAATCTCTCGGATGGTATGCGAGGACTAAGCCAAATCTCACGGGCGGATGCTAGACTAACCCATGTGCGAGGACTAACCCTAATCTCTTGAATTGATGCGAGACTAACCCTAATAGAAGAAAACTTGTGCAAGGACTAACCCTAATCTTTCAGGTGAGCACAAGACTAACCCTAACCAGTCGAAAAATGTGCAAAACTAACCCCAATCAGTTGAGTGACGTAAATCTTATGTCATAATGCAATGAGCGCACGGATCTGGCAGATCTGGGGACCAGTCAACTAAAGGCTACCTGTTAATTTAATGCAATCAGGGTAGGTAGAAGACATGAGAATACTTTGCTGCATTGCTTAGTGAATTGTGACCGCTAAGGTAGTCCTGTGTCTTCCATCACCAATGTTATATAACATTACTCTTATCAAATATCGACTCAGTCCCTTCAAGTAATATCCAAATCACAACATACAGCAGACATCCCTATGATTAATTGAAATATTGCCATTAAACAGGTCTAGGAAAATCACTATATTTAGCTATATAGCTAAATCTACCTATATAGCTTTATTTATCTATATAATATAGCTTTATTTAGCTATTTCGGAGTAAATTTCTGTTTTATGAAAAGCAGACAAAAAGTCGCATAATGAGGCAGTATTAGTTTTCAACTTTGAAATGAACTGAAAACAATTCACCAAAAACCCACTTTTAAAAATGTTTCTCCTTTTGTGCAATTGCAATCAAATATCTAAAAGTTTTGGGGCTATGTATAACAGTTAATCTGTGAATAAGCAGCTACTTTAACAAAGAAAAGCAGTTTTGGTCAACAAGATAATTGATTGGTAATAATTCAGCACAATGCAAGGTAATCACACTTAGTCATGCCTCATCGCATTTCCAGTAATGGACAGCTATCCAAACAATAGAGATGCATTTTTTGGTTAAAAAGTGTTTAAAAGAGGCAATGTTTTTACTATCTATGCCCTTGGTTGTTTTTATCAAACCTTTTTAAAAAAATATCAGCCATAATTTTCATGCGACTTTTTGTTTGCTTTTCATAAAACAGAAACTTATTCTAAAATAGCTAAATATAGCTATATTATATAGGTAAATAAAGCTATATAGGTAAATTAAGCTATATAGCTAAATATAGTGATTTTCCTGGACCTGTTAAATATTCTCCATGCAATATTAGCCAGAAGATAAACAAAACTTTAGAGACTATTTTCATTCAGAATGTACGTACTGTCCACTGAATTCGTCTGATCGGAACCATTTGAAAGAACTGTGTCGCAATGTGGTGCAAAATCTCTTCATTGTTTTTATCAGACAGTTTGCTAATGGAAGTCGCCATATTTTTCATCTAATTATTGTAATCTTTCTCTTGATTGGTCAAAAGACCTCAAGATTAGATTTTACCCAATCACATAGTATGTTGCTTACAAAGGAAGGGTGTAATCGGCGTCTATAATACTTTTGCTTTTAAAATGTAAGTAAATCCACAAATATCGCAAGCATCATCAATCTAAATACCATTTTGCACAATTTGAAATTATATTTATTCATTTGACAAGTGTTTCATGTATATATTTTCTACGGAAATGGATTAGACAAGGATATATTAGTCAAGTTTGTTTACAATTTGAATTTCCTCTGCTCTGTACAATGTAAACAAACATTTCAGCACCAAACTGCATTTCTCAGTGCAGCACCAAACTGCATTTCTCAGCGTGCATATGATCAGCAAGAAATAACGTTTATTCTCATATCTATTGAATTTTTTTGTTTATTATTGTTACAATTTGAATTTCCTCTGCTCTGTACAATGTAAAGAAACATTTCAGCACCAAACTGCATTTCTCAGTGCAGCACCAAACTGCATTTCTCAGTATACATATGATCAACAAGAAATAACGTTTATTCTCATATCTATTGGAGTTTTGTGTTTATTATGGTTGCATTATGCTTAAAACAAGTTTTATTTACCAGATATTCCCACTATCAGGTTGGGCACACACCACCAAATGGTCATTTATCCCCCGTTTGGTGGTCAATCACCCATATCAGAGTCGTATTTACTGACCAACTGGTGGTCTTTTTTATTCAAATCCAATTTTTATAAAAATAAAGCAAAGGCACATTCGTATAGGCCTCGGGGAATTTTAGTAAACATATTCCTCACACAATTAATACAGTTCGGTCGATTTTCCATGTGTAATTTCTGTGGAACTTCGTAAAAACGATACCTACAGCTGTCCGTGACGGCCGAACTTCTTGCTTAATCAATCCAACAAATATTTTCTTCTGTCTAGTTTAGTAAAAATTCTATTGAGACCAGTGGTTTAACTCTTTAGAAGTTAACTTTCAATCGATCTTTGGATCTTCGTCTAAATAAATCTCTATAGAATCCCGTTAAACACGAGCTCCTCATACTTCACTGGTATGGTGGGCACTTAATGCTATGATATTCATTTTTTCTACATTTGAATGTAACATTTATTCTTTATTTACTTTTAGGATGAAGTTGCGATTTCTGTACGACCTTTTGTGGTTTAGTATGCATATTTGTGATGAATATACTATATTTAGTCAATAATTTTGAATATTTACATTTGCGAATGTTTTCTTTATATAACACTATTTCAAGCAACGTGTATCTATATCCCTATAAACACGGGTTCCTTGCATCATAAACGTTCGACGTAATTTCTAAGTGACGTCATAAAGGGTCGATGTGCAATCAATGGATCAAATACATGCCGTTGAGTTTGAAAAATAAAACATTTCATGCGATAAAGATTGTAATCAGAAAAATATAAAATATGAATAAGTCAAAGATGTAAATATAAGTAATAATGTATCATTTTTAAACATCTATCGGGATATAAATACGGGTTGGTACGAGATCAAATTTACCATAAAGCCCTTCGGGCTTTATGGAATTTGATCTTGTGACCAACCCGTATTTATATCCCGATAGATGTTTAAAAATGATACATTATTTCTTAAATAAAATATTTACAAAGTGACAGTTGCAATTATTCTTGTTTTAATTCCAAGAACATCGTTTTGAAGCAATTATTATATCATGATCTCACTGTATATTTTATTTTTATGAGGAATAAAGCCATCGCGTACAAAATAAAACGAAATAAAAGCAAATTCTTCTCTTTCCTTTTATTTCCTAATTGAAAATTGACACTAATGTGCCTCCGTAGTTAAATCAGACTTTTAACCCGGTTCGAAAAAGATCATCATTTTTTATTGGTTTAAATTATTTGATCGGTTGCCCGGATGATAAAAATAGAAAGTAAGAAACACGATCAACAGGTGCAACAACGTTCGAGAAGGAAAGAAAATTTCTTTTTAAAGTAAAAACACAGAAACGTTGTACTTGTTTACGTTGGTGACGATTTGGTCAAAAAATTGAAAGACAGTGCGCAAAAAACTCCGAGTTGAATTTCCTATTTTTTTTGTTCATAGTACCGATAAATGTCTATAGTTTATTCCCCACGAGTTAATATTATGCGCCATTTCACCCCATTCCACAGAATTGAACAAAACGATTTTTCTCTCCCAAATGGTCAGTAAATACCAACTCCGATATGGGTGATTGACCACCAAACAGGGGTTAAATGACCATTTGGTGGTGTGTGCCCAAACTGATTATGTGAACTGATTGCTGTGTCAGGTAGTCACTACAGTCAGTTATTAGCTATGTAGCTTAAATCACCTACATAGCTTTATTTAGCGACTAGAAGTACATTGTATGTTTGTTTAGCTACTAGTCATATTTATTTCTGAAATTTGCATTTTTTTAGCATAAAAAAACACATACACACACACATGGTGCAGTGATAGTTTTCATCTTTGAACTGTTCTGAAAACAATGTTTTCAAAGATGCGTCTCCTTCAGAGCAATTGCAATCAAAGTTCTAAAAGTTGTAGGGTGATATACAACAGTTAATTTGTAACCAGTTACTTCTTAAATTAAATAACAAAGAAGAACCAATTTTGGTTAACATGAGAATTGATTGGTAATAATTCTGGATCAGCACAATGTGGAGTAATGAAGCTTATCCATGCCTCACCGCACACAAGTTAGCGTATAATTACTCAAACAGTGGAAATGCATCTTTTGTTTGAAAGTATTCAAAAACAGCAATGTTAAACTATATCTTTGTTCCGAGTTGCTTTCAGTACAAATGTTACTAGTCACATATGATAATGTGCAAATATTTTTGCCTATATTAAATGAAAAGCAAACTTGTAAAAACTTGCATTAAGATAGTGAAATCAAAATACTTTGAGTAGGTATGTCAGTAATTCAAGCTAAATGTAGTGATTGTACTGGACCTGATCATAGTTGGCAGATTGCTCATTTATTTTGACAGAGAAGATCATATATTTAATCATTTACGCTCTTTGGGTTCCCTCTAATGCTGATTATTTTTTGCAGGGTTCGAAGCCAAAGCAAAAGTAGGGAAAGGAAGAAGAGTGGTTCAGAACGAGGTCGAGAGAGGAAAAGGAAGAATTCTTCTAGTAGTGGATCAGGCTCCAGGTATACAGAAAATTAGGTGTTACTTAGATTGAGAATAAATGCATAAAACTAACTCTTAGTAGATGGTGTATATTTTAAGGTGGTATTGATATGAAATTGGTAGGCAAAAGACATAAATAACAGAGATTCGCAACTGTTCGAAATGTCACGATTTCCATCGTGAGCCCTATCATTTACTTACTACGTTACATTATCTGAGATAGTAACAGATGACCTGCAGTGGGCCATATCTCAGATATTTCACCAACTTTAGATCATTGACCTCTTTATTAATTTGCCTCTTTGCTCTTTAGTCAATAATCAATGTATTTTAGTATATTTAGTAATCATGGTTCTCTGTTATTTATCATTTTATATATCTGTCAACACAGAAAATTAATGAAGTTTGCATGTGTGTCCATGTTAAATACTTGTCATTTACAGGAAATAGTCATATTTCCGGGGCTTTTTCCCAGGATGGTAGGAAATACCAGTAATTCCCGGGAATTACTGGTATTTCCTGGTATAAAATACCAGTAATTCCCGGGAATTACTGGTATTTCCTGGGATATACTGGGAATTAAGGTATAGCTACATGTTTCATACTTAATCATTATCTGTTAGGTATAGACATAGTCCAAATATACATGTACCGGTATACCGGTATATCTAAACACTATGTAATCTGTGTGTTAAATTTTTTTGGTACCAAGTAAATTTAAGTAATGCATATTCTTACAAATAGGCACAATTTACTCGGAGATGTTCAATACTCTAGTCAGCTGTAGTCTATACAATTCCATAAAAATGAACCCCAAGTTCCCAGATTTACTTTTTATGTTGTAACTGAAATAGGCTCTAAGAGTGTATAGCAAATGTCACAAAAGAGGCCTTTTAGTCTAATCAAGGTAGTTTAATATCTCTCAAAACAGGAACACATAGCTGTTATGAATCAATTTGTTACAGCAACAAGTTTGTTTGTAGTACTTCAAGTGTTTACATAAGGACTAAAACAAATTTATTTTTGATCATTATTTGTTTAATGCTACAAAGGTAGAAAAAAAAACTCTTATTGGGAAATTTAATTTTGTTTAACAGACACCTATAGAAAATCTTGTGTTCTGCTGCAGAATGCTTAAGGGTAGGAAACCTGGAGTGATGATATATTATAACATAGCTCTTGCATTGATACATATTCAACTTGTGTTTTATGTTTGTTTACTTTATTTCTCAATTGTGTATTCCATTAAGTAATCTTATGGAGAGGGTTTTCTCTAATATTCATTATAAAAGTTTTCTTGTAAATTTTTTAAGCACGTCCCGCTCCCGCAGTAGGTCTGGATCTTCCTCTTCATCAAGCAGCAGTTCCAGTGGGAGTTCTGATAGCAGTTCCTCCAGATCAGGCAGTTCTAGTTCCAGTCGCTCCTCTTCAAGCCAGAGTGGGAAAGGAAGAGGAGGAAAAGCATCAAAAAGACAGCAGTCAGAGTATGTTGAAAGCTTTATTATTTTTGTGTTTATGCATTACTCTTTGTGTAGATTCCAAAGGTTATCCCCCTCCCCCCCTCCCCCCACACACACACGCACACTCCCACCCCCTTTAAATTAAGTAGTGTTTGAATTGTAAGTTTTTAACCTGATGATGTCAATAGTTTAGGAACTCCTTAATTTCAGTTACCTGTCATAAAGAGTAAGAAGCTTTCTAGTTTGAAATGCATTGTAATCTGTTAAGATTTATTCATGTATGATAACTTCATATTTTATTCGTTAGATCACCAAAGAGAAGAAAGAAGAGCCCAGAACCTAAGCCTACAAAGGTTCACATCGGAAAGTTAACACGGAATGTGAATAAAGATCACATCATGGAGATTTTTTCCAATTATGGCAGCATCAAAAACATAGATATGCCCTTAGACAGAGTGCATTCTAACTTTAGTAAATTATTTGCATATATTGAATATGAATCTCCAGAGGAAGCAGAAAAGGCTGTGAAATATATGGATGGAGGTATGCTCTTTTTATCCCTTTAAATCAATGTGTATTTAAATTTGTTTATAAATTAAGAGTATTGTACAGAAATCAAATCATTTTAATGATTACTAAAACATACCTGGAGACAAAAAAGACTAAAATAATCTGGTAATTTTTATAATCTAATATCCCTTAAACTGACCCAAGACACTTGAGAACTTTTTTGCATATTAGTTTGATGACTGAGCAGGAAGGAGTTGTGGCAAGGGGTAAAAATGAGATTACCCAGACAAACAGAACATAGAAAAAAAATATATGTTTGGTTCCAGGGATAATCTAATATTTTAATATTTTTCTGTCTATATTGTGCATTTTCTGTATCAGGTCAAATTGATGGACAAGAAATTTCAGCAAGTGCTGTGTTGGCAGCTAGACCAGCAAGACCACTGCCACGAAGAAGTCCTCCCAGAAATAGAGGTCCACCACCAAGGTGGGGCCGTCCAGCCTCCCCAAGATACAGGGATAGAAGAAGGTATGTGCTTGGTACTTAAATATAAATATTACTCAGATTTTGCATTACAACCAGAAGAAAGAAATGAACATAATATACATAATGTTCATGTTAGGTTTAAGTGTTGTATTTGTAGTCAGTCTTCTTTGACTATATTCATTAGGACACCACCTCCAAGACGAAGAAGTCCACCACCAAGGCGGCGCTCCAGATCCAGGTCCCCTGCCAAGAGGAGGAGATATAGTCGATCAAGCTCCAGTTCATCTCGATAAAAAGATATCATCCACTTATTATTCATAGCATCATGCTTAATGTTCAAGGCTTCATTCAGACATTTCTTGCAATAGTGACAGTGTTACACATACACATACCTTCTCATTTTTGTCGATTTTTTTCTCAGATCAATGAGGATAAAGTGGGATAAAGTGGTTTTTAGTAAGATGTGCTCTGTCTTTCCATCAGACCTACATTCTTGTATAAACTTGTTTTAAATAAAATTAATGGTAATCTTAATTGTCTATGTGATTTGTGTCCAAGATTGCTTAGATACATGTAGATTTAACGAAATTTTTTTGTTTGTTACATTTATTTAAAACATGATACATTTTCTTTTGTCCAACCATGAAGAAAGCCATTAAAAAACATAATTAAGTGAAAAGTTACTTATCATCATTCTGAAATGGTACATGTACAGCAATTGTCCTCTACTTAAAACTTATGTACATGTATCTAATAAGAGTCTGATCTGTGATTGATTTCCTTTGCTTTTTGCAACAGAAAAGGAGAAAATGTATGGCTGGACCAGGAATCAAACCTGAGACCCCTGAATCACTAGTCAGGTGCTCTACCAACTGAGCTACCCAGGCCAATATCCATGACCCAAATCATTACACATTTGAGTAACCTTAATATGAACTACATTTATTCAAAGAAGAGCAGACGTCGTTAGATTTAGATAATGTGTACCATTTCATCTACAGCAGACTCTTTAATGCTCTTCTGTGTGAAGGCAAAAGAGCAGGGCTCTTTTAGACCAGGATTGTCCTCCACTTCAAGGCATACACACTGGAAAAACAAGTGGCATATGGGTCACAATGCTCACCTGAGTCCCTTTGACCCTGCTGTTCTTCATCAGCTGATTTTATTTAATTTCATAAAATTTTGACTCCATTTCATGACCAAAGTCTAGCCATAAGAAAGCTATGATTTAGTCCAAGTTGAATCCACAGAGCATTGGGGTGCTTCAATATCAATATGATCAACAAGGCTTTGTTGTTCTGGAGTCGATTTTTTTTTCCTGTACATTTGCATTATGTAACATTTGATATCTGAATTAAGCCCAATCGTCATCGCAGGGCTCATAATTTAAAAAAAATGATTCCACACATAAACTGAGGATGTTTCACTATTATATGACTAATCATGGCTTTGCTGTTCTTGAGGAGGAGATTTAATTATGAAGATTGTTGCTATATGCATGTATTCTAATGTAAAAGATTGATTTCCAATTGTGGTTCTGCTTTACCCCACAGGGGTCATAATTTGAACAAACTTGAATCTACACTACCTAAGGATGCTTCCATATTCATGACTGTACATGACTTTGTTGGTCTTAATTGAGAAGACAATTTTTAAAGATTTTTTTCCTACATTTGTTAAACTTTGATTCCCTTTTGTGGCCCCACTCTTCAATAGGGGGGTCATGAATTGAATGAACTTGAATTTACACTATGTGATGAAACTATCACTTAAGTTTCACCTTTTCTGGTCCTGTGGTTCTAAAGAAGACTTTTAAAAGATGCCATTCAATTTTCACCAATCCTTAATTGTCTCTCCTTGAAAGAGGGTGTGGCCCTTCATTTGAACAAACTAGAGTCCCCTTCACCCAATGATACTTTGTGGCAAGTTTGCTTGAAACTGGCCCTGTGGTTCTGGAGAAGAAAAGTTAACAACGACAACAATGGACAAAGCTCACCTGAGCCTTTGGCTTAGGTGAGCTAAAAAGACACACCGTTTTGATCAACTAAGTATTATATGAATTCAATGCATTGCTTTTTAAATGACTGTCTAGTATTGGGAGGAAAAAACACAACGTGAGGCAATTTCTTTTGAACCAGGGATGTATATACGTACCTGATCACAATCTTTGCATATTATTTCACAAAATTATTGTTGCCTTGACATTTTAAGAACACATTTCACAAGTTTTATTATTCCAATTTAAATGTTTGTATACCCATCATGGTTCAAGCCTGAACCTGCAGTTGGAGGGGGGTGTCTATAAATCTGAACAGTCTCTTTATTTATTACATGTATCTATGTAAGAAGATTTCACAAATAAATCTGTTCTGGTAATTATAAAGTTGGACTGCTGTTTATGAGAATAAATAATATCAATAAATCATTGACACCTTATACCATAAAAATATCAAAGATGTCAAAATATCAGAGTTGATTGGAGACTTAAAATCCATAATTTTATAACATCAATAACTTCTACTTGTAATACATCCTTTTTTCAGCCTTTCATTTTGTTTTTGATTAAAATAAGAAAAGTCAAAGAAAAAATTCATACAAAATTGTGTTGTTCTTTATCTCCTTCACATCATAAAGTATTTTTAAATGGAAGATCTGTACTTCAAAATTTGAATGTGTTTATGGATGACATTTGAGTGATGATCTCTAAAAACAAAGCCAAAAAATGTTCGGTAAGGACTGAAGCTGTATTTAGCTAGACCATTGCCATCCCATCAGAGGAGCTAAGAACTAAGACTGTCAATACTATCATATGGCTCACAGTAACTTCCAGAAGCAAGGCTTTCTTCTCCGTTGTCATTTGTAAATCTTATAGGTTTCCACTGAACTATTTTCATACACCTATACAATTCTGATGGAACAAATATCTGGCGAGAACTTACTGATTCTTCTTTGTTTGTGAGATCTAACGCTGGCACTCCATCTGGCTCAAGTGGACTTCCCACAAATAGCAAAGAGGATTTAAATTTGACAACATCTTTGCATTCTTTAGCATAATTTGATTCATAAAATTCTTCAAGTTCCAGAGTTTGTGGGTTGAAATGATGGATACTGCCATCCACCAAACTTGTTACATAAATGTCCTCTCCCTGTCCCACAACTCTCACATGTTCTCTTGTGAATAAGTCGTTACATTTATAAGATATCAGAGTTGTCTCCCCTGTGGATGGATCAAAGCACTGGAACTTCTGACACAGAATGTCCATACTGTCATTAAACCCCCCAAAGATGTAAAGTTTATCATTTGAATTGATAGCCGTAGCGTCCTGGACCCCTTCTAAAAGTTTTCCACAATTTCTCCAAGATTTATCAGCAAAGCAGTATTGATCAATTCTGTTACTGGCTTTGCAGGTGATGTTATCAATCCCTCCAAAAACATACACACTGTCTTTCACTGCAATCATACCCATGTGTTTTCTAGGCAATAATTCACAGTCTACAATTTTCTGCAGATTCAACTCCAGAAAGTCAAATACAAAAAGATTCCCAAAATAATCTGCCATAACTATGGACGACTCTCCATAATTGCAGAAAATTTTGCAAAATGGAAGCTCGGATAAAGGAAATCCATAAGCATCAAATATTTGCAGTTTTTCAGAATCTGACAAAAATGACCTGGTGGCACCTATTGTGATAAAATTCAGCTCCTTGTTTGGAGATCTAAAGTCAGATATAAGTTCTATCTGGAGGGAAGGATCATTGTGATAATTTTCTGTCAGTTGGAATATCTCTTCCAAGCTCTTCTGTACATTTTTCATCTCCTTATACTTGTGTTTGATAAGGTCTAAAAATTGATCCTGCAGATGGACGACATGTTCTTTGTTGATCATTGGAAAGTGGATGACAGACAGGATTTCTTTTACTTCATCCTCTTCCAGATTGCCAACTCTAGCTGTGAGGTAGTTGAGAACTGCCACCCCAACCCAGTATTCTTCAACTTGGAGATCCTTATTTTCAAGAATAGACAGGAAAGTCTCAACACTGAAGGCACTAAATTCTTCACTAGAGGCTAAATCCACAAAGTTTGTCATGATAAATTTTTCACAGCTGCCCTTTAACATGACATATGATGGATCTTGTTGAGAAATCTCATAATAGTTACACACTGAGTTGACAGCAAGTTGGGTTGTGCTGATTTCTGTTTCACATATCATTTGCAAACTTTCAATCTGAAAATAAGTTGAGGCATGCAGAAGATCTTCCCATGTATTAACAAACCGGGAATTTCCCTCTCCTAAGGTATATATGAAGAGTAGACAGTCTTTCATGATACTTGGTGAGAAACCATTAATTGTAATAGTTTCCTCAGTACTTTCTCTCATTCCGGCTGAAAACATGCGACTGAAATATGGCGACATGCTACTCAGGATTACCCTATGGCACTTGAATGATTCATTTTCTACTTTTATAGTGACATCTGTAAATTGTTCTGAATCGAGGAACTCTTTTAATCCTGTTCGAAAATCCCTCAAGATTGATGCTTCTATGCTATACTGCTCTGTAGGCATGATTTCTGATCCTAAAAGAAAAGGAACATTGCATTTATGTCAACTGCAACTGACAATAGCAAGGCTAAAAATAATTTTATATTGTGGAGAAAGCTGTTGCATATTGAGAACCAATTGTACCATAATCTGTAAAAACTAAGAAAACTGCAAAACCGATCATTTTTCTTTCCATGCAGGACAGTTCCTATACTAGAATTATAATAATAAACTATCTTGTACCATATTTATTTATATACATTACATACTAGCTGCAATAATGTAGCCCTCTCCATTTTTTTAGGGGGGGGGGGGATATCAGATAAGAAAAATCGGACAGCCCGGCTACATCATTGCAGCTAATTACATACATATACATTACATCTTCAAAGATATGCAAAATTTTACGCATTTAAACATTATGCACATTACAAGTTTTCCATGCCAATCATGGTTTGGTTTGACATGATAAACACGTATCATTGTATGAATGTTTGCTTTAAATAAAATCATACCAAATTAACAGCCCTGTAGTACGGTGCACGATATTTTTAAGCTCTTCGTATAAGAATCCATTTATTCTTCACAGGACATGGGGCAGTGGCCATTGAAGTTGAAGATCAAGATGAAGATGTTGACAACACATGTTGGTAAAAGCGTCTTATTTACTTTGAATGAAAATAAACAAACACTCAAATGATGATGAATAGGAAGTTTAGAAATACTACACTTCCGGTTAACTTTTTGACGCATTTTCACCTGATAATATACAACAAAAAAGAACCCAACAGAATTGAGAGAAAATGAATCGTCTTTTCGGAAGAGGTAAAGAAAAACAACCACCACCAAATCTTACTGACTGTGTAAACAGTATCGATAGCAGAGGGGAATCAATCGACAAAAAGATAGGAAGACTAGATGCAGAACTGAAAAAATACAAAGATCAAATGAAGAAAATGAGAGATGGGCCGTCCAAAAACATGGTGAAGCAGAAGGCTCTCAGAATTCTTAAGCAGAAGAGAATGTATGAGAATCAAAGAGATAATCTGATGCAGCAGTCCTTTAACATAGAACAGCAGAACTACGCTATCCAGTCACTAAAGGATACCAAAACAACAGTAGATGCTATGAAAGTTGGTGTAAAAGAATTCAAGAAGGCTTACAAACACGTGAACATTGATCAAATTGAAAATTTACAGGATGATATGGAAGATTTAACAGAGCAGGCAAATGAGATTCAAGAAGTAATGGGTAGAAGTTATGGCATGCCCGAAGTTGATGATGATGAATTGGAAGCAGAGTTGGATGCCTTGGGTGATGACCTTGCTCTCGATGAAGATTCCTCGTATCTTGATGATGTGGCTCTACCCAGTGTTGCAACAAGTGAACCAGGTGCAGAAAGCATGAAAGAGGGAAATGTACCTGTTGATGAATTTGGACTGCCACAGATTCCACAAACGGCAAAATAAACACCACAAAGTGAACAAACCATAAAATCATTAAGCTAAATTATTTGTGATATATATACATGCTTTTGTGTTGTATTTGAACTGAGTTTGGATGATTATTGTACTTCTTTTTCTTATAATATAGGTGTTTGTTAAATTTTATTTCAAATAAATACACTGAAGTATATGTAGTTTTATATGTACATAATGTAAAAGTAATTAGTTATTATCATAGAAGTGTATTTTCTACATTTTTGATTCTCTTGTTGTTACCCATTATCTGAAAGCAATGAAAGACTAGTCCAAAGTTATATGTGATTAAATGATAAGCTTTTAAACTCAAAACCACATTTTAGGAGGGGAATGGGGCCTGCACATTATGTATGATTGTATTACAGTAGACTGTCATTTATTAGTAAAAACTTAATGTTATTCAGCTCTGACTGGTATGACACATAACTCTTCGAACCTAAAGCTGTAATGTTCAGTCATAGTCTAACATTTGACTGTAATATATAGGTAAAATTAATATCCATCTGTGTTAGCAGTGATTATCCTACATTCATTTAGTGAATAAAATGTTTCTTCCAATGATGTTTTTAGTGTGAAAAAAATTTAAGCAGTCACATATTGGGATTAAAGCTGGACCAATGAATGATAGACTATGTGAAGATAGATTCAATGAAAGCAGCAGTTATAACTCATGAAGGCCAGAAATTAGAAGTGCATGTATATAATTATATGTCTCTTAAGTATTTGTCTGATGTAAACTCTGCACATTCTCGATTTCTTCTCTATTTAGCAATTTCAACAAACCATACATGGGTAAAGAGGATTCAATGTCAATTTGATTAGAATTATGTGAGAACTAATTTTTAAAAATTTCTTCTCAAGAAACTCAGTACCACAAGTGGTTATATTTATATGCAACCATTTCCAAGTAGTGTAGATTCAAATCAAGGCCCATCTGGCTAGGGTTGGACCACAACTTTTTTTTCTTTTTTCCAAAAACAATATAGCAACATTTTCATGTAGTGTAACTCCAGTTTGTTTGAATTGTGGTCCCCATGGGCTATGTTCAATGTTTGAAATAACTGTGCAGCTGATCACCAGAGATGCATTAATTTCGCTACAGGTCATTAAATTTGCCTGTATTTATGCCCTGGGCTGACGTGTTAAAATTTCCACTAATTAAACGTTTACATTGATAAATCTGTCACAAATTGACTAGCTCTATGAAGCGTAAAAAGTGAAGTGAAAGAGCTTGTCAGTCTATATATGTTATGCTGACTCAGTCCTATAGTCACTTCAAAAGAGCCTAGATGTCTTTTGAATGACTTTTTAGGATTGCAACTTGTCAACTGCTTGCAAGGCAGATGATGTTATGACATATGGTTTAACTAATGTAATAAAAATTTTTGAAAAAGGCTATACTTTTCTCAGGTTAGTAGATCTTTAGCAGGACTTTTAGCGGCAGTCAGCTCTGCTTTTACATTGATCATCAAACACTCCAAGCCTAGTATGTTGGAGCCTTAATGGGGGGGGGGGGGGGGGGGGGGGGCTTAAAGTTTTAAACAGGAATATATTGAGTTGTGTTAGTGTAAGTCAACAACATGTAGAGTTGACATACTCATATTTTTTTTTTAAATTCAAATTGTCAAAATTGAGGACTTATAAATCTTTACACTTGTAATGAACTTTAAGTACATTCGCAACATAGTTTGAACTTTATTGTCTTTTTCCCTGGAGTTGAAGAGTTCCAATACTTAAAGGAACTGTGTGCTACATTAAAATGTCTATTTATGCTGTTGTACACTTCTTCTAAAACAAGTCTGGATAAACAAAACATCTAGAATATATGTTTAGTAATTTTTGTATATTTTTCTTTGAATTATACCAGAATTTTCATCAATTGATATCTTTTCAAAATCCCTGGTAATGCATGTTGATTTTTTTGTCTTCGAACATTTGATGGCACTATAATCTTAATTTAAGAATATCTTGAAAAATTATCAGTAGGTAAGGTATGTTGTGTATGTCTTTAAGATAGGTAATTAGCCAGTTCTATCTTCTGTCATTCCATTTTATCATAGGTTGACAAATTGGATTAATTCGAAATTCCTTCCTGTATATTGCAGTTAAAAATGAACAAATTCCAACCAAACACTGTGATTTGCAATTCAAAAGGTGGCCACTTGCAAGAAACAAACACATATAGTTTAATTCAAAAGAACTGCCATCTTGTGAAAAGAATTGCAAAGAAGCAGAAATTTTAAAAGGGATAAAATTTTGTTGATTTTTGATCTAAATTGATTTTGTGGAGACTAATTTTCCTTTAAATTATTTCAAAAATAACCATTTTGAATATATAAACATATAATATTTTTTTTAAATGTTTAGGATTTAATTTGTTGATTCAATTAAGTTACAAATGAAATTGAATCCCTACCAATATTTTAGCTTTTACAGTATAATTATAATTTCCAGTCTCTGATATATGCGATTTGAGAGAAGGTTGTAATACTTGTAGTTGTTAGCAATTCTGAGACAAGTGACAAACAAGTGAGCAACAATATGACAATCCATAGCATTATAAAGTCCCAAATAACATTTAATATTATATAAAAAGATTGTTTTCATAATTTATATTAGCTGAAAGGACGTCACGATATTCAACCTTTTGTTGATACTGACGCAAAAAGCATCAGTAGGGTATGACATCGCAAGAGTCACCATTTCTATACTGTAATAAGCATCAACGGTTGCACTAAAGTTACGCAGACCGTGATGTTATAAGAACTGTATGTTTTTATCACTGTGACGTAATGACAGCCAAGTCTGTTCAGTTAGAATTGTTTCAGATTATTCACTTTGAGTAATTATAAAACTATTATGAACTTAGTGAATGGTGAATATGTGTTTATAAGGATTAATGTCAAGTGATTATTGACCGAAATTGACTGACAGAAAGTGATAGCTACCGAGCTTGCGAGGTCACTATCATTTTCTCTGTCTGAGGTCAATAACACTTGAAAATGGGTCCTTATAACCACTTATCAACCTACACTGAAGTCCATGATTGTATAACTTCTTAGTCGTATGACCTTGACCTTGTAAAAAACAACCTTGACTAAGAATCACAAAAGACCTTGATCACAGGCAATATTTGAGCTAAGTAGGACCTCCTGTTTTGTCTTCAATTAAGACCTTCAGAATTTGACATTCTAAACTCTGTGACCTTGTCTAAATGACCTTTGTTCAGGGTCATGACATATCCTATAATCATAATCAATCGCAACTTGCACTTGAATGTTACACCCCCTCTGGTCACAAGCAACTTTTGTGTCTAGTATAATCTACTACAGTACCATTTTTCTCCATTTCATAGTTCTGATCAAAGCAAGAATTTTATCTTTCTAAAGCCATTGACCTTGCAAATTACCCTGGGTTTAAGTTGGGACATATATATCACAATCTAATTAAAATTAGACATTTCATCTCACTCTTCATTCATTATTTGTTGCTTATGAGCGAAAGGTAGATATATTAGAGTGAGATGAAAGGTCCAATTAGATTTGGACATATCTATGAGTCACAAATAACCTTTGTCTCAAGCATCAGCTTCTAATGTTTCTCCATTTAAAAATTGTTTCTTGACAATAATTCCGTACGTGTGACCTTGTCCAAAATGACCATGGCTCAATATCAGCTTTCAATGTTTCTATATTTCAGAGTTGAGGCTCTTGACAATAGTTTTGTACTTTTACACCTGTTACCTTGACCTTGTCCAAAATAACCTTGGTATGGGGTCAAAACACCTTTTACAGCAACTGTATTCTGTCATCCATTCATGACAACTTTCCATTTTGAGAGCTGTTGAAAAAGTACAAATGTGAGATAAGATAGGGATATAAACATTTCCAATCTTCATTGAAAAATGAACATATCTGCAGGCACGCATCGATTTCTAGTCATGCAGATCTGAATGTTTTTAATAAATCTGAATACATACAAAAGTTTATTGACATTTATTTGACACATATATATTACTCACGTATTTAAATGATTCTGGGACAAAGAATATCACAAAATGTTCACAAAGCACATGCAAGGGTAAAATAAAGATAAAACATAAAAATTAATAACATTTATAAAATAAATAACCTTTTTGTACACATTGAAATAAAGAAATGTTTCTACACCGTCAGAATTGACCTTTCTAAACAATATTCGAGGTTTGAATTTATACAATTAGGGGTAGTATCGGTACTTTGAGCACCATTACAGACATTGCTCACTTTCAGAGAAACTTTCATTCTTTCACTTGACCGAGTGGTTTTACACAATTCAAGTACAAATAATTCAGAAATAAACAACACCAACACAACATTGTGAGAATGCACAAATAAATTTTAGTTGTGCATTCTCACAATGTGTTGGTGATCTGTTTTTTTCTTGTAGTTTATAAGTTAGATCCAGGCCTTATTGAATATCATATCCACTTGTGAGAATTTTCACCTTTAAGGTTCTGGTTTCCACTTTTGACTTTGTGTTGTAATTAGTAAATATTTAAAAAAAAAAAAAACTTCTGGAAAAAAGAGGGCTACATTTCTAGCATTTCTTTCATTTGTCATATTTGTCAAAAACTGGCAAAAACTCTCATAAACAAAACTCTAAAAAAAAAAAAAAAAAAAACACCATTCAACATACATGGAACAGGTTCACCTTCACAAAACTGGGGATAGCTTAACTACACCTCAAATACCATAAATATATGTACATTGAAGCTACACTTGTATTCACCGGCATGCAGCTACCCCCAGTCGGCAATCTCTGGGAACCAGGAAACATGTTAATACATGAAATGTGGCTTGCTGTTTCAAACAACCTTGCAATGAGTGTGTAATGGAAATGGCTGTGATAAAGAAGTCTCTCAGATGTACGCTCTTCCTAATGTTTTTTCTGTCATAACCGCTTTAGGACCTTCTTCTTTTCCTTTTTCTTCTTATCTAAAACATTTTTGTCACCAGCATGTTTCTTGGCCAATGGTCCTTCCTGGCTGTTTTTGCTTGATTCTGCTAATATTCCTGCTGTATCCTTTGAAGTTCTACAAGAATCAAAAAGTTCCGCATTAGTGTTTTTAACAGATAAAAGTCTTGACACCCTGAATATAAAGACAGCAAGGCTTGTACCATTGGAATAACATGTAGTTCAAGACAGTAGATCTTAACTTTATTCAAGTAGGAGTTACTGTGACACATTTAAATTATGGCAGATGGATAAAATTTTGTACATGTCTGGGTATGACTTGTTAGCTTACTCTAATTTTAGTGTTTATTTCTTAGTGTAATTTTGACACTTACTTTGAGGCTTTGGCATGTATTTCTGTGTATAACTTGTTAACTTACTCTAATGTTAGTGTCTATTTCTTTGTGTATTTTTCACACTTACTTTGGAGGTTTGGCATGTATTTCTGTGTATAACTTTGCTCTCATTGAGTAGTCTTCATACTGTTCCAGTAGGAGTTTCCCTGCTTCCTCATTTAATGCAGACTCGGGATTTGGTACTATTAATAAACATTTTATTGTCTGAAAAAAAAAAGAAAGACGGCATTATTAAAATTCAACATATGAAAAATTTTTTCAGAACTCCCAAATTTTCTTGCTAACAAGGGTGTGTCCACCAGCAAGTCCACAGACACACAGTTTTTGACAAAGTCCCAAATAATTTTGCTGCATCTATTACGCAGATTTTTGCTTTAATGAGAACCCTATAATAATGAACCAAAATGTTTCCACTCATCCTGGACAGGTTAAAATTAGCTTGATACAGGTGGGTGCCTCTTTTCTCTGATAATGAGTAAAACTTTTCCCATGTTGCTGCAATATTTCCACTGGGTTAACACCAAATCAAAACTCTATATCATGGATGAGCCATAATTTATAATCTATTATTAAGGAATAACTGTCTAATTTTTTGGTTTCATGATGTGATCAATCGATTGGCTTGTGTGATAATTAGCATAAACGCCGAAGGCGTTTATGCATAAAATTATCACGCAAGCCAATCGATTGATCATCATCATGAAACCAAAAAATCTGACAGTTATTCCTTATATTTACATGCTCTTGGTTCTGCAAATTCACGTGCTACAAGCCCCATTTCTGTCTCTATTTGTCACATGATTTTTTTTCACCACGCCTATCGATGAACCAGTAGATTTATGTAGAAATAAAGTATTTTTACTATTCGAAATGTTATCTCGGACAAAGACATTGGAAATGTAAATATTGAAGCATCAAGTCAAAATGCATCAAGGAATGGGGTACATTGAATCTAAGAAATGTAAAGGATAAGAATATGCCAGTGCTCAGACAAAAGTGTAATGGACTTCTGCCATTTGGAATTTTAGGATGGATAATACATGTACTCCAAAATGAAAACTCTTTCTTTATTACATTTTCAATAGCGAAATATTTATTGAATGAAAGTGATATTCTTTCACAGTGTGAAAGAATACCAAAATGATATTCTGTCACAGTGTGAAAGGATATCAAAGTAACGTAAGTAAAAATGATTTCTGACCTGTCATAAGAAAGAAATAGTAACTAAACCATCTTGATAGAGACTAAAACTGTAAATATCCTCCCCAATATATAAAGGATATTCATATTTTGTTGTTGGATATGGAATTTATTTCAAGAGTGGGACAGGATTTTTTTTATATTTTCATGAGTGCAAAGCACAAGTGAACATATCAAACAAGATGTGTTTGTGAAACACTGATGCCCCCGTATGGCAGCTTATGGCGAAGGTTAAAGTTTCTTCAAATGCAAGTCAAAATCCAGGCGAAAAGATAAAAAATGTTGATACCCAAAGAAAGGTCTTGTCTCGAGGAATACACCTGTGAAATTTGAAAGACCTAGATACAATAGCTGCAATAATGTAGCCCTCTCCAATTTTTTTTTAATCTGATATTTTCAGGAGAGGGCTACAAGTCCACTGCATCTCCATAATGGTGCAAATATATTTTTTAGATACGGGCGACTGCAGGCAAAATAAATTGTTTTTGCATTCAACTTCCTTCCAATGAGACGGAATTTTTATTCACTATCAACATCATAGCCCTTTATACGCGAAAACCAAGTAAAATAAATCTGCGTGTTTAACAGTCCTTCTCCTCAGCAGCCATGACAGTTTCTCGTGTGATGTACTGAGACTTGCGCTTGAAATTTATAATCACTTGATAAAGTAAATGTCGGAGTTGATAAATGTTTGTGTTGTATGATATCACTAAACATCGATAAATAAAAGCATTCCATGTGATATTTTTTTCATAAACAGTGATATTTATACTTAAAATAAGGGAAATTATAAACGATCCGCTCCCCTAGATCCCGAATTCTCATTGGTTGTCCCAAAATAAAATCAATCAAGGTCAGTAAACATGGCGGATAAATTCAAGTTATGATGTTGACATACACGAAAAATAACCAATATACGGATTGTTCTGAATATTTTTGGATCAATTCATGTCTTGCATAACTACTTTTTATGAGTTCAGGTAAGATATGTTAATAAAATACCCACTTACTGATAATTTGAGCCGAAATCTGTGCGGTAGTGAATCACTTCCGCACTTGCACCATTACGGAGATCCTAAGGAGTTGTAGCCCTCTCCAAAGAAAAAAAAAAAAATTGGAGAGGGCTACATTATTGCAGCTATAGATACAACTGTTCAAAAGTATGGTGAAGGTTACAGTTTTTTAAATAAAAGTCAAACGTCAAGGTCAAGGTCAAAGTGGTTGGTATCCAAAGGACTTGTCACAAGGATTACATATGTGAAGTATGAAAGCCCTAGCACCAACCATTCAAAAGTTATGGCCAAGGTTAAAGTTTTTCAAAAGTAGGTCAAACTCCTAGGTCAAGGTCAAAGGGTCAAAGTGGTTGGTATCCAAAGGAAGGTCTTGTCACAAGGATTACATATGTGAAGTATGAAAGCCCTAGCATCAACCATTCAAAAGTTATGGCCAAGGTTAAAGTTTTTCAAAAGTAGGTCAAACTCCTAGGTCAAGGTAAAAAGGTCAAAGTGGTGGTTGGTATCCAAAGGAAGGTCTTGTCGCAAGGATTACATATATGAAGTATGAAAGCCCTAGCTCCAACCATTCAAAAGTTATGGCCAAGGTTAAAGTTTTTCAAAAGTAAGTCAAACTCCTAGGTCAAGGTCAAAGGGTCAAAGTGGTTGATATCCAGAGGAAGGTCTTGTCACAAGGAATACACATGTGAAGTTTGAAACCCTAAGCACCAACTGTTCAAAAGTTATAACCAAGGTTAAAGTTTTTCAAAAGTAGGTCAAACTCCAAGGTCAAGGTCAAAAGGTCAAAGTTGTTGGTATCCAAAGGAAGGCCTTGTCACAAAGAATATACACGTGAAGTTTGAAACCCCAAGCACCAACTGTTCAGAAGTTATGGCCAAGGTTAAAGTCTCATAAAATTTTGCAAAAGTGGGTCAAACTCCAAGGTCAAGGTCAAAAGGTCAAATATGATGGTACCAAAAGAAAGGTCTTGTCACAAGGAATACACATGTGAAATATGAAAGTCATAGCTTCAACCAATCAAAAGTTATGGGCAAGGTTAAAGTTGACAACAGACAAACAGACAAACAGACAAACGGACAAACAGACAAACAGACAGACAGGACAAAAACAATATACCCCCGGGATCTTTCGATCCGGGGGCATAAAAATTCTGTCTCACGAGTGAAATAAATTCCATATCCAACTACAAAACATTGAATTTTCTGTTTATTACATTTTCTTTGATTTCTCTTTGCCTCTGTCTTTTCTTAACACAGTGTCAAAGGCTATGACCTCATAGTTGAGTGGTTGAGACATCATAGCTTAGCAATTGTGAGATTGAAAACATTTTAACATGGATTTTAGATATCATGATCAGATATCATCCTGAATGGCACCTACCAATAATATATGTTTAATTCCAAGTTCTGCCTTCCAGTCTTTTTTCAAAGTGTTCACACAAATTTCACCGTTACTTGCAACATTTGGGTGAAAAATTTTTGTTACAAAGAATCCTTTTGGGGGTTCAGATGGAAAGTTCTTTCCCAGCACAAGTTTCATCCTGAATAAACCTCCTGCATATGGAGTTCCAGCTGGAAAATGAAAGAAAAGAAGTGAATGATATATTATACACTTCTGTTTTCATCTTAGCAGATGTATTGTAATGCTTCAATCAAACTGATATAACAGAGTTAATGTGACTTTTTCTGTAACCATGATATTAGGTTTAAGAAAATAATATGCTCACTATTACATGCTAATTAAAAAAAGGTCAGTACATGTGTAGGTAGGATCTAATTTTATTTTGTATGTTGAAATATAAAAAAAAATTGGCCATATATAAATCTTACTTTTTCTCCATGCAAAATTTTTTCCCATCTACCCTACAGCTCTCATATAAAACAAAAAATTCTGAGGAAAACCTATAGACATGCAATTTCAGTACATGTATTGTGTGTCAAAAAAGAAATTTGGATTGGCTCATAAATCTAGAGTCAGTTTAGGATTATTTTGTGGAATTGAAAATGCATTCACAAGAAAAAAAACATAGTTAAGTACATGCAGTACTCTGCAATTGGACTTGAGAGTAGAATCTAATTTTGTGGAATACAGTGAGCCTTATGAAAGGCTATCTCCAAATCTTCAAAGATTCCCCCTTCTTTCACCTGTTATCAGCAGTGCAGTGCAATTAGATACTGCTTTTCTTTTTATATATGAGAAGTGAGGTTGTACATAATATAGAAATTGAAATTCTGACTCAAATTTCCCTTTTAATTGGAAAAAAAGAGAACTGCAACAACTCTTGTGAAATAGTTTTGCTTATTGAAGTTGACACATTTTATTAAAAGGGTAATGGAAAAGGCTCGCAAATCTTTTATATGTCAAAAGATTACGGTGATATAAATCCAATACCAATCGCATCTTCTTGGGACTTTCCGGCAAGCTCGGAAAAACACCTTGAATGTACTTTCATCACCCATTGTTAAAAATTTTATACAAAATGAAGTCATTTCCTACTTATAAAATTACTAAACAGACAGAGTTGAAAGTCCCTTCTGTGGTATATTTTAGGTAATATCTTTACATTCAATGAAGACTCTACAGACAAGTGGTCTCCCTCAGCGTTTTTTTCCTTATATAACCAGTGTGCAAAACTAATCTGGAGAATGAAATAGCCCATTGGACTATCTGATTTTAAATTGGGATAGACCGTAGACAAATGGGACTGTCCAACATGTCCATAGAAAGTAAACTTGAAAAAAATGTGCACTTGTTATTGTTAATAATTGTTTTTTTTTTAATCTATTCATTTATATTCTTATTGAAGTAACTGCTATATATTTTCATTATTATCTAGTGAAAATTAAATATAATCATGCAGTGTTCGTGCATTTCACACCTAAAAAAACTGTACCATTATTCAGACTCGTCGTATATGAACTTCACTCTGCAGACCAGCTAATATTTGTGAAAGACATGAACTCTAATTTCATCTTTATAGCTTTCCCTTTTTTCGGATTCATTATTTTATTTTCAATTTTTTTGGTTGTCTTTTTGTTTATTCATTTTGTTTTTTAATGCCATGCTTCCCGCAGTCAGGAATTGTAGCATGCCTGATATACACAAACAGCAAGCATCGGGTAAAAATAGTACACCGCTAATTCATCGAAAGATGCACAATGTTAAAAATTAATAAGTAAAGAGATTTAACAACAGTACTTTTACCATGTAAAATATAAAAGTATTAAATTATTTTTTCACAATTATTTTGTTTATAATTACATGTTAAAAATACAAAATGGTCATTCTTGTTCAATCTCATTTTACCCATGGCCAAAATTGGGATAGACAATTCAGTCTGTTTCAATTAGGTTGACTGATATCACTTCCGCCTAAATCGAATTTCAAAGTAGAGATTAGTTGTAATATGGCGGGACCTGTGGTATAGAAAGCGTAGCGTCATACATTTTGACAAATTGAAAGCATGAAAATGCGAAAACAAGGGACATTGATATGAAAAACAATAAATACTTGATGTTTATTCTTTAAAACACGGAGTAATAGGTAATGAGGTCGGAATAAATGCAAAATATGTGCCATTTGTTTAAATGACAGAAAATTCTCCTTTGTTCTACTTCGATGCTATTTTTCCCAATTGAACCAGTACCGGACCCTTTCCCAATGGGTAGAAAAAATCGCTGTCCCTTCATTTATTTCAAAGTTTATGGAAGGGGGGGGGGGTGTCATGGACGCCTTTGTGACACATTTCAGGTTTTTTTCTGCCTGCCAGAAAGGCCCAAGAAGTTGTGGTTGAGGCAATACAAGGCTACAAAATGTCCCCCATATCCATCCCTACCCATTAAATTAAACTTCTCACCACCACCACACAAAATGGGCGAAAGTTAAGACTTGGGTGAAAAAATATTTAAACTCTCATATTTATCGATAACTTTAAAAATTCTCAAGCTTTTTTTCCTTCAAAAGTTATAACTTATGAGGAAGGTAAAGTGTATGACACTGACAGATATACTAGTAAATGACAGATGGTTATAGACAGGATAAAAACAACATGCGTCCCGATCTCCGATCTTGGGCGCATAAAAACTCACAGGGTCCTTCTATTTGTGCCTGTATATCTGTTATATCTTCTTCGTTTGGAAATATCTTGATGCCTTCTGGTGGATCATTACATAGATCTGCTATTTCTTTAGACACTTGGCGGATTATTTGAGGAGATAGGTTTTCAACATTTGAGAACTGAAATAAAATTTTATAAAAACAATATAGAACTTAAAAATAGCTTACATAACATTTTATAATTCATATAAAATATATTCTATTCATAAAATTTGAAGAGAGAGGGAGATAAACCTTTTTACTCAGAGTCTAATACCATAACAATAAAAAATTAACACCTTAATTACAAACGATTAAAGTTTTGGGCATTTTTTTTTCAGCAAAATCATATTGTGGAGGAAAAATGTGGTATAATTTTTTCTGTACACTTAAGAAACCGATGAATTAGAGGACCAAAACATACGGATTCCGATCAAGCTTCATAGTTGAAATATTTGACATAGCTTATTTTATCATATTTAGAACAACATATCCGAATTTAAACAAAATATATTATCATACTACTGTTCATATACGTTCAAGCTTAGTTTCCTTTACGTTGTATACTCACAGAGGACATTGCTCTCGTTTTAAATACAAAATTTCTTTCAACTGTGTTGTCAATCGGTTTGAATATACAAATTTCGTAGTTGACCTAATTTTAAACTATCGAGGAATCTCGTTCAGACGAGAAAGGTTTATAGTTTTATATATAAAAAGAAAATAAATAACCAGTTATTGAGAAATTACAATTGTAAAACCTTTATAGATTCCCTTGTTTAATGTTATTTTTTATTTATTTATTTATTTATTTTACGAAATGTAAAATTTGGGGACAAACTAAATACCCGAATCATTAAAGACCTGTTGGCTAGACTGTTCAGACGACCTCGTCCAAAGAAAAATCGTGGCTATTTTTAATATATATGTTTATATATTAATAAATCATAAAAATGTAATGTACAATTCTTTGTACAAAAACATTTCATAAAAAAAAATATTTCTGACCACAAAAAAAAAGAATATCGGTTAGCTAACCAACTAGCAACTGATAGCTTTGTTTTTATGAATTAGCTTTCAGATATTTTAAAAATGACCGTTTGGAAAGGAGTTTTAACAAATAAGACTTATACTTTCCTATTATATTCTTCATTATGTATATCAAATGCATCACAATATTACCTGAAGCCGACAATTGTGACAAAATCAGGAAATGATTTTGATTAGAAGTTTCAATTCAGGTATCATAAAATATTTTTGGGTATCAGAAAATGAAAAGATTTTTGTGAGGCCAACTTTAAAATAATGTTAGTTTGCCCTCTCCTGACTCAGGATGAAAAATTGGGTCAGTAGGTAGGTGAGAAATTTTATTTCCCAGAAAATTTCAACAGCCATGTAGAATTTTCATTTCATTCTATTATCCGGAATGCATAAAAAGAATAATTGCTTCCTGGAGGTTTTAAGAAGTTTTGAGTCGGGCCTTTTTTAGCCAGTCGGTAGAGAGGGCAACGAAACAGTGTTTTAAAGATGGTCTGATAACAAAAATTCTATTTTCTGATATTAGAGAACCTTTAAATATATATATATATATATAGAGAGAGAGAGAGAATAATAGATCTAAATAAAGATTGAATTTCTGTTTAAAAAAAATAAATAAATGACTGCAGCAGTGTTTAATTTGTTTATATAAAGGATGGAAAATTTGAATGAATAATTACTACCTAAATATTGAAACAAAATGTGCAGTTTTTTATACATATGTGAAAAGTATTTTGTCATATGGAGCTGAAATATGAGGTTTTCACAAGGCCAAAGATGTTGAAAAAATACATAGTAACTTTTGTAAGAAAGTCTTAGGTGTGAAATTATGTACCCCAAACAATATGGTGTATTATGAATTAGGCAGATTACCTCTGTATCTTTCAAGGAAACTTCAGATTTTGAAATATTGGCTTAAACTTAAAAATACAAATAACTGTATATTAAAAGCATGTTATGAAGAAAGAGTAAGGAATAATGACAAATGGTTTGCTGAAATTAAGAATGAATTTGATAAGCTTGGTTTAAGTTATCTCCTGTTCCAAAACTTTGATACTCCTAGAGAATTTGTTATAGTTAAGCAAAGATTCTTTGATGTGTATATATAGCCAAGAAATCTTTCACAGTATTAAGATGTCTACTAAGGGACAGTTGTATCAACATATAAATTATAGATAGGGATGTCAATTTTGTCCATAATTCATATTCGAATATTCAATGAAAGTATTCGAATATATTCGAATATTCGATAAAATAAATAAAATTTAGTTAATTTCAAATGTACATCATTATACTCTCATGGCAGGTTTGCGTCGGTATTTGGAAGTAAAATTGGACATAGACTTTTGTAGGTGCACAATAAGGAATTCTACATTTGATATCTGTCAATGTTTGAAATAAATGATTGATTTAAGTGTATACAACCGAAATATAAATGTAACAAATAATATCTATACAAGTTCAAACCAACGAACCAGTCGTTTAACCAGGGGCAAGATTGTCGTTTACTCTTCAGATTCAAAAACACTTAATTAATTACAATTATCTGCTTAATAAAAGATATAATATAATCTTTGATACAATGTTTTGACAATATAAACAAACAATTCCATGGACAATTTTCCTAGGTCATTAATTTCCCGATTATGATTTTAAATTTTTAAAATTATATTTAACCCGAGATAATCAAGTAATTGATGCATTATTCTGAAATTGAGCCCTTTACAATATTACAGGCTGATTCTATCAAAGATGTAATTCAATAATCAATAAAAATTATTTTCATAAGTACATCCTTCACGTCTCTTAGACATTCAAGAAGGTTTCATTTCGTTGTCCTCGGTTCTAGATCCGATCATATTAAACTATACTGAAAGTACTTTTTGTATCATACATTAATAGTTCTTGTTTATTTCTATATACCTTACTATTTCTTTATACCTTACTCAAAATGAAAAAAAAATTGGAAGATCTATAAGATAAGAAAGTAGCGAAAGGAATCAGGGGATCGCTAGTAAATAAAACGGGGATAATTCCAGCACTGTTCTAATTAAAATTTATTACCTTTTTTGTGAAATCTGAAAACCACCGAATATTCGAATCTCAAATTCATATTCGAATATTAACTCATCGAATGAATATTCGAATGTTCGAATATTCGTTGACATCCCTAATTATAGACCATTTTGGTTTACAGTATTATTTATCAAAACCCATTAAACATGCATACAAAAAATGTATCACAAGTTTTAGACTGTCTAGTCATAATTTACGGGTTGAAGAAGGTAGATATATGTAAATGAAAATAGAAATAACAGAATATGTATATTATGTGTCTTGAATGATGTAGAAGATGAATTCCATTTTATATAATTAAAATGTCCTGTATATCATGATCTCAGAATACAATATATCAAACAGTATTATGTTAAAAAAAACCTAGTGTCTTTAAACTAATACAATTGTTAAGTGTTCAAAATGTCAAAGAAATGTCTAAATTGGGAAGATTTTTGTTCAGCGCTTCACAACGAAGATTAGAACTACTAAATTGTTTGTAGCATATAATATGTATGTAAATACTTAATATATATAACTGAAAGATTTGAGTAGTTCTATATATGTATGTCTCTATAAGTATATTATATATAATGTAGCAAGTATACTGAAATAAGCATGCATTACTGTACGTTTTGTTTATATTAATTGTGTCATACTGTCTGATGTGCCATATGACATAAGGGAAATAAAGAATTGAATGGAAAATTCCAATTGTGACAGTTAAAAAAAAAAGAAATTAGTGCAAATGTTTTAGTTCAAAAAGTAATTAATATCTATCCAAAATATTGGCAAGAGAAAATAGAGGTCGACGTTTGCATCCTTATTTAGTATTGCTTGAAATTACCATAGAATAGCCTCCAATTCTAAACTCTGGAAAATTCCAATTAAGGTGCATTGGTACTCTTATAAGAGAGATAAATCTTAATGGGATAAATGTCTATTATTCCTTTATAACATCCCAAGAAATCCCTTCCTATTTTTCTTTGAGTTGAACTCATACAAATGCTAATCACCGATATTACCCTAAGAGTGATTCGAGACAATTGATGGCAGAATCTTAGAGAGGTGGATTTTTTGAATGATAATCTTAAAATAGTTCTGAATCTAAGGTGTATCCATAGTGTACAAGTCCCTCTCAGACACGGCGAGTTACCCCATACCCTGCATATTTCAGCTAGGTTTCACACCGGTAATTGACCGATCAAAATGAACTTAATTAGTCAGTTGTAGTTCCATACATATAAAATTAATTTTTCTTTCTTTTGAGAATTTTTTTTAATTTCTACCAGCCTATTTTTACAACTTTGGTACCTGCCTATAGTAAATTTTATGCACTTTGAAAATAAATAAAGGTTTTTGACGGGGACTTTTTTTCAGGGCATAGGAGGCTACTTCCTGGGGTGCACTCGAGATGTTTATTGAAAACACGTGGATCAGCCCATTTCACCACGTATACTTCCTAAGACATTTATTTATGAAAAAAATTTAATTGGCATTACTTGCGTGGCCAACGAAATGGGGTAAAATTAGTAACCTGTGACATACTTATACTTTCTAACATCAAATTAATGGTTACAAATTACGACATTTATTTAATTTTCTTTTTTTTTTAATTTTAGTTGTTTATTGTTAACTCATTTATTTTCTCGAATTATATGTTTCTTTTTAAGAATTGGTTCAATACTCTAATTCTGAGACAAAAGATTTAGAAAATCAATAAAATTAAAACAAGTAGCTATGAATTTACAAACTTTAAAGCTATATATGGCGTATCTGAGCTAAAAAAAATAAAATAAAATAAAATAAAAATACCAGATTGAGTGAAGATAAACGTGATATATGTTTTTTTACGTTCAAATAAAAATTTTCACCGATTTTGAAGTTGAATAACCTAATGTTTCCATAGTTAAATTGATTTTAAACTGTGTCTGTTAATTAAATGTGGAGTCGTTAAATAAATCGGACATTGTATTAAATTTCTAATACCTGTGAAACGTGATTGATTTTAATTGTGTAATTAACAGGAAAGTCCTATCTTTATATAAAGTAATAAAACAAATAGAAAGATCTTTTTAATTTTAGTTAAATACGCCATATATGACTTTAATAAAATAGTTTGGGACCGTCTTTCAAAGTGTAATGTGTATATTATAACTTCCTGAAATTATGCATATTATAAAACGTAATAAAGAAAAACGTAGAAAAGATATACAAAGAAAAAAAAATTTAAAATAAGCATAAATGGAAAAATGTGGGGCTCGAACTCGCAATCACCATATTTACATTCCAGCAATCATACCACTGCGCCAACGAAGTCAATGACGTCGAATTGATAAATTTAAGGCAGATTGCTAAATCTTCCGATTATATGAGAAGAAAATTTGAATATATATTTTCATCATTTTCAATATGAAGACCACCTTTAACCAAAATTATCTAAATGTAATGAAGTGCAGTCATATCCAAATAAAATTATTCAAAAGTTGTTTTTCTGGTTAAGGGTGGTCTTTGGCAACAGTTCGTCATCTTTAGGTGGATACCTCAATATTTACTATACACTCCATACAAACTGGATAAATTTTATATTTATCATATGAAGGAACTATCAATATTGAAATATCATTATTGTGTGGTTTGGTTTTACGTATGTATAAACTAATATTGTATGACAAAATTTTGAATAAACAATGAATTTGAGAAATCACTAGTAGAGTAGGCGAAAATGCCTATCAAATGCGCTATGGCTCTTTATTATTATTACTGAGCACGTAGGATATTGAAATCATGCCCCCCCCCCCAAAAAAAAAAAATCGAAAGTCTCTGAAAATAAAGTTTTAAAGGTTTTATTTTAAATCTGTAAAAGTTTTGGATCCTTCCCTCAACACTACTGATATCATTTGTCTCGCATAACTCTCATGGGTAATATAAAGATTAGCGTTAATTGCGCTTTAATTGAATTTATTCTAGAGCTAAACCGGAGAAAATCCACAGAATTTCTCCCTGTGAAATGCCTTTTTATCAGTTTATCCAATTTTTCCCGCTAGCTATGCAAAAATTATTTGCAATTTACTTATGAGATACATTTCTGTTGGAAAATCGTAAGTATTTAAGCAATATTTTAAATGATTGAACAGAGGGATTGTGAACCTTAACGGGTTATATCTCTCTTATCAGAGGGTCGTTCCACCTTAAGGTAGTCCGATCCTCAGGTTCTGAAAATCAGTCTTTTAGTATTTGAAAATGCTTACAAAAATGTTTCTGATTTCACATAGTAACGTGAATTTACCCATAGTATTTCTTCAAAGTTCATCATTATAGTTAATCATATTATATAGGGAAAATTATCAAATATCAAATATATTTTCAGGAAATGCGAATAAAAGCACCAGCTTTGCATTTTCTAATTGAAAATTGATCAACAAATATCATTTAGGATTAAAAAAAAAAATACAAGTATCCAGGCATTTGGAGAAAATTGCATCGTTTTTATGCTACAGTATTATAGTTTTTCCTCTTTTTAGTTTCTCTCTACTCCAATTGTTATATAATGCATAGTGTAAAAAGCTATTGCTATCATTGCTAGACAACACATATCATGTCTAATTTCATATCATGCTAATAAGCATTGGTATCTAATGATAGATTAAAGGAAATTCGATTTCTCTAAAAATGAATTTATTTTTTTTCTTTTACGGGGTACAAATATCAACTTTTTACAAGACCGTTTCTAAGACTTCAAAGAACCTTGAATCATGTTGAGATGCTTAAAATGAAAATTGTTACATGAAAAGATTCAAACTTCATTTTGAGACTTTTTAAATAAAATAATAAATTTAAGAGTTATCCTTCTTGGCTGAGGATCGGATATCCTTAAGAATTAGAAGAATCGGAAAGGGTTTTTTTTTATTTGATCAGCTGCTTTTAAATTTTCTACTTATAACGACTGTTTAAAAATTCAATGTTGAGAGTGATTCATATTACGAGGATATGTAGCAATCATCACAAATATTGTATGAATCAATAAATAGAAATCATTGGTTGATAAACTTAAACTTTTCTGTTATTTGAGGATTTAAATTCACAAAGATCTATTTTAATATTTCATATTTAAGTTAACCTTTCATTGATATTGCGGATTTAGAGTCACAAAGATCTGTTTTAATTTTTTATATATTTGCTCAGGTCTTTTGTCTCCCTGGTCTTTAGTTTGTTCTGTTTAATGGCTAATTCATTTGTATTTTATTCGAGTCAAAATCTTACCCACAAATTTAGATTTCAGTGATCCTTTTTTATGCTCATGTAATAAATCAAACAAAAATTATTTATATAATTATTTATAATTAGTAAACAATACATATATTTCATCTGCATATGAAATTCGTATTTTTGTTTTATTGATCAAATTAATTTAAATTTTAAAAAAACTGGTGCCCATACTTCACTGGTAGCAAACGAGAGAGATGGAAAACGATAGTAATACAGAAACGGAGGTAATTTCTAAATAAATGAAGACATTTGACACATATTTAAACCTCTCTAGACCTGTTTGCAAGCTACAATATATGAAACTCTATGTAATATTCTCGACGCTGATTGTTTACAAGTAGCAGTGTCCTCGACAACTTGTTCTATGTTAATTTTTATTATAATGAAATGTCAGTTTAGGTAGGACAAGGATCGATTTTTATATGGTTAAAAAGTCATGATTATTCAGTTATTTTTAACAAGGAATGTTATTTATTAACACTAACTAGCGAAGAAGAAAACTTTTCTGTGTATGATGTAGTCAAAGTGAAAGTAGAGAAGGTAGTCATTTGCATGTGATTAAATATGAGAACAAAGTCAATTCTGTCTTACAGCATAGTTATTGTGTCTCATAGCTAATAAGTTTCAAACCCAAATATTGAATAGGAGCTTTGAAAATACTGGAAAGCCTGATTTTTTTTTGACTGCATACTGCTCATAAAAAAACTACATAAAAACTACAGAATAATGACAAAAAATGTCTGAATGTCAATATTAAAGTATTATATTTATTACTAAATTTCAAAAAGATATTAAAATGTACAAGAGCATTTAGTTAAGGGCCATGTCCCATTTGAAGGGGGGATAATGAGGAAATCATGAAAAAAGGATGGAATCTTGTAAATAGATTTTTTATCAAGATTGAGGAACCACTCAGCTAGAAAGGAAAAAAACAACAGGAAAGCTTTTTAATCGAGAGTCAAGCAAGGGCCTTATTTGACTTGTAAAATTCTGAAGAAATCAAAATTGTTCAATATTAGGTTAAAATGCATTTAAATATTATTTTGACCCACTGTGACCATATACACTGTATCTATTAAAAATGACATCATTTTCTTCCTGGTCTACATATTATGAAATCATTAGTTGCATTGTTATTCCCATTTACTGACAATTTCTTCCAAATTTGCCCACATATTGAGATTTTTTTTCTTCAAAATTTCACATAAAGCACAACATATGATCTAAATAAAATAAGTGCATATTGATAAAGCTATGATGTTTACAAGGCATTTGAATTTTTTTTTTTTTTTTTTTTTTTGGATTGAGCGGTGTGCTCATATTTTGATTCTTTGTTGCATGTACATGTAGTAGTTCTCTATAAAATCCATCTCTTTTTCAAATCCCTGCCTAAAGGGATAGGGGTGGCCACAAAAAGGAGTCAAAGTTTTATATTGGATAGATAAAAATCCTTTGATCAAGTACAAGTAGGCTACAAAAAGACTTTAAAAGTCATATTACTGGTAATATGGAGCCATCCCTATGAAGTGTAGATTCAATTTTATTAATATTATGAGCAATGGGGCAAGGGTAGGGCTGCAAGAGGGCCTCAAAATTTTGCATTGGACTATACCTAGGAAATAGTCTTTAAAAAATGCACTTCTCACAAACAGTATGAATATTTTATGTTATATTAATATGGAAGCAATCCTGTAAGGAATTTTTAAAAATCTTCTTTTTAACAACAGTCAGACTACAGTCTTATTTATATACACTGTACAAGAAATCCTATTAACGAAGATTCAAAATTGTTCAAATTAAGGTTTCAAGGGTCAAAATTTTACATTGGAATGTACAGAAAACACCTTAAATCAGCAGGGCTTCAGTAAGTCATAGTAGTGTAACAGGAAAGGAGAAAATGTTTGGCTGGACCGGGAATCGAACCCGGGACCCCTGCATCACTATTCGGGTGCTCTACCAACTGAGCTACCCAGGCCGATATCCACGGCCCAAACCATTACATTCGTATGGAAGGACCCCCAAGCACATGAAAAAGAATGGAAGAAAAGGAAAACACATATAAAACACACACAAAAAAAAATCACACAAACACATAAACACACAAAACTTAAGGAGGCTGGGGGGTCAACAAATTAACCACCAGATTTAAGTTAATTTTTTAGATCTGATATCTTAAGCTGTCAACTATCATTTGGCAAAGAAAAATTTCAAAAATTTTAGTTTTAAAATTTGATCATTTTCTATATCTTCATATGGAGCTCTTCTTCTAAAGGAGATCAATATAGTCTAAAAATGGGCACAACCCCCAGCCTCTTTAAGTCTTAAACAAACTGATGTCTTCATAAATTTGAGACTTCAAAAAAAAAAAAATAAATAAAAATAAAAAAAAAAAATAAATAAATAAAACAAACATGAAGTAGTGAATACTTGTAACTTTGTAGTCATCACTGAATGAATTGAATTGTTTTTTGAGGTCTTTAATTTTAGACTCAGGCAGTCAGATTACAGCAGATGAAGAGAGATTTGGAGAGCTGGAGAGAAGTTTTGTTGCCACTTAATGGTCTCCTTCACTGGGAAAAACCATTTTACCCAGCCATCATAGTGGGCATCAACACCTTTATATTTGCGTATGTTAAGTTCATTTCACTTGGAATTTCATTTAAACTTCTTTTAGAGCAGATCTCAACACTGGCACTTGTCATCTTTCATCCATGTCATCATCTGATGATAATACAATCTGATTAAAATTAGCCCATTGATATCGCTCCTCAATTATCTATTCGTTGTTCATGAAAATGGACAAATATGCTTCTTTTTTAGATATTAAAAAATGATACTTTGTAGATTAAATTGTTGTAATACTTAATTAGCAGATTGTTATTGTACATTTGTATTGATTTGGTACATTTTAGATGTACCTCTAAGATACTAGATACTGTACTTCAAGATGAATCTGGTACTTTTTAAACAAAGACACTTGAACCTTATATGGAAAAAATATGGGGTCAAGTGTCTGTGATTTTAGATTGATATTGGACAACTGTAAACTAACTTATTATATATGTTGTCACTTGTCAGTGTGAAATCTATCCATGGGGACTAATCTTCCTGACTGAGGAATTATTCTTCATAAATATACAAGGAAATAAATAATTTGTGACTAGAAATATTTGCGAGTTATCTTGTGGAAATTTCTTGCACACGAATAAAAGTTGGTTTACTAGGGATGTGCGATTTTATCGGTATACCGGTATATTGCGATTTTTTTATTGCGTGATATGTATCATGATATCGAGATTAAAATACCGGTATTTCGTACATAATTATAAATTCCAAAATTATTCATTTATTTCTTCGAACTATTAAATAAAAATTACAGGAAGTCTAAAAAATGTTTTAAAAAAGTTAACCTACGGCATCCAAACATGCTTATTATTATAAAAATAAAAAATGAAAAAAGTGAAGTTATTTGTTTACAGCGTATTTGTAAGAAAATTTGTAGAAATTCATTTAAAATTGTAGTAAAAATTCCGTGTAAAAACATTACCATATTATTGTGATATTTTGGTGAAAAAATCATGATATATCACGATAAGAAATTTTTGGCGATACCCACCCCTATGGTTTACAGTAACTAAGTATATAATTTGATAAAAAGAAAAAATAATGATATGGGATGTAGATTGATGTGGGACTTTTATTATTTGTGTTTATGGTATTTTCAATGTGTACATGTATTTTTGTATTATAGATTGATATGGTATTTCGAGCCTTCTGTCCTCACGACCTTTGCTCTTCTAGGATTGGCTATCAGCCTTATTGATTTCCTTGTCCCCATAATTGGACCAAATGTTGTGACTGCTAAATGGTAAGATCACAGGATAATCTCTAAATCTATTGATATTTAGCTAAATTTTTTCCCCTACACATTCAGTGACTTGTCAATAAAACTCAATGTTTTAAGTGGTGCTTACATAACTTTCCGTTTTATTCCACAACAGTCTTATTAAATTTATTGACCTCTGCACACTTTGACAGTGTTAAATAATAAAAAACTGTATTCCAACTTAAGATAAGATTTTGTGCATGTAATTGCATGTAATTGTGTCTTCAATTTATGTAAATTGAACATTTAATGTGGTGAGTCCAAGGAAATTGAGTCATGTGACTTGTATAATCAGTTCATTGCCACAAAACACAATTACCCATTTTGTTTGATACATGTACATAACAATGGCATTGTATGTGTTTCATTCACAGGAAAAGGATGAAAAATTCATATGACGACTCGTGTTTTATACTACTCAATCATTTATGAATGACAGATTTTCATACATAAGAAAAAGATGGAAAATAAGTGCATTAAATTATCATTTTGGGAACACCTTGTATGTTTACTAGTACTTAGACTAAGTGTATATTTATGTATATATATATTTGCTGAACACTGATTTCTGTTTTTGACTTGAAGGACTGGAAAACAAGAGGCACAGTATACTGACATCTGTTGTAGAATCCTGAATGCCAAGACTCATTTCCATAATGCCAGGAGCACAATGAGCTCCCTGAAATCTGAAAAGCCAAAGATTGTAAGATTTGTCACGATATCCTAGTTTCTTAGTAACCTTTATTATATATCTAGTCTCAAACGCAGGGTTTTTGTATATGCTATACAGCTTACTTTAACAGCTTCCCAGGCTGATATGGATCTGCAGGAATGATATGGATTTGCAGGGCTGATACAGATACATGTATATAAACATTTTATAACACTCGTGGATTAAACCTTTAAAAACCTATAACTGTGATAAGACATCTTTCATTTATATTCCTTATTAAAAAATATTTTTACAGCCTGCTCCACATATATTGAAATCGCTTTTTTGAAATATCTCTTATTTTGAAGTAATTAATTATCAGTTCGCTCAGCTAATAATGAGTTGTTTTTATAACGGTTATATGGAAGTCCTCCTGGTGAGTCATCGTCACCCTTGGGGACATCGTAATTAAACAAGTATTTACTAAGGTGTTAGTATACATTAAAACACACTTATAGCAAACACGCTTATAATGCATTGACGCTTACAGCAAAGTGATTTTCATTCCCTGTGACATTAAAATACATGGTAAACTTAAACAATATAACGAAATACACTTATAATGAAGCAAAATCGTCTGTCCCTGGTACTTTATTATAAGCATGTTTTACTGTATATATTTTCAATTAATATATTTTCATTGCATGTTTTTATTAAAGATTTATGAAATAAATTTCTTAGGGGTATCACATATTAACAGGACTTTTGAACAGCTGTTCAAATACACACACGTGAACAATTAAATCTCGTGAAAGAAAAAAATTGTCTTTGGATAACTTAAATGAATTAATGTCTGCCTAAGATAAAGATGTGAAAAGCGAAGGATTGTGGAATAAATCTGAACACACGCTAGCAATGATATACATGTACAAACAATGTATATCCTGCTGGAATATATTGGAATTGTTTTTAATCAATGAGGTTGTGGTTTACATTCCTTTCCTCTTTTTTCTGCAGTACTTTCTGATTGTCATGGGGACCCTGGTAGCTTTGGCCTGGCTTGGCAGTCGAATGGACAACCTGTGTATGACTTATTTCCTGGGTAAGAACTTTGCAGTTCCATCAAAAATCAATCATTCATTTGAAATTGCATTTCTAGGGTGTGGGGGCTAGGGAAAAAACAGCCCATCATCATGAAAATTCACTACTGTATACAGAGAAATTTTTGTCCACATTTTATTTTCGCCCCTTTCGCCCTATTCACAATTGGCGAATGGGGCGAATTCAAAGAACACCGTAGAATTTCTTACACAGAACTGTGAATGGGCAAATTTAAAACGGGGCAAAATTGTATGCAAGTATGAAAGGGCAAAAAATAACATGGGGTGAAAATAATCCTGTATACAGTATTTCGTTGATTGCATAAATTAGTTGAAAATTGGAATAATTTTGCTGCCTACTGAAAATCTTCAAGCCACAGGCACTTGACATTTTAAACCTTTCTCTTCATTGATAAAAAAATATCCACATACTATATTAATAAAGTTATCATTATAGTATGGGGATATTTTTATCAATAAAGAGAAAGGTTTAAAACGTAAAGTGCCTGTGCTTCAAGCAGAAACCCTTAAAACAAAAGAATGACACCTCCAAATTGCAATTTTAAAATAAAGCTCGATTAGCCACTAGTTTTTCTTCGGAAGTTGTACAGTTGAGTTATCTTGGAAGTCATATCGTTTACAAGTACCAAACAGCAGTGGAGATCGAAAAAATAATTCATAAATTCAAGATTTATATTCTCGCAATTATTTTTTGAAATATAATAACCAACCAATATTATAGACCGTTGATTTTTAACCAAAGTATATACAAAGATGCTATTCACGCGGTACATGAAAGCGTTTGACGCATGACAGGTAATTGTTTTCAAAACATGCAAACTCAGATTATCAGGAAGCACGGGTAGCTGGCCTGTCAATCAAATCAATAGTTATTTTTTTTCTATGATTGACAGGCAATATATTATTGATTTCAAATTAGGTCGATTTTAGGGGCGTTAACGTAAAATTTTGTGTGTAACACCTGCCTTTTTCTATTTTCCTTTGATCTTTTCCAGTGAACTTGGTTTTGCTGATCCCAGGAATAAGACAGCATGCTGTTCTCCAGAAATACCTGGCAAGACTGCTGAATGTCATTAAGTCCTTTGTTGGAAAGGGGTCCAAGAAAATGAAGTCAAGCTAGATACCAACTTCCAAAAGACAGCAATAATAGCATAAACTTTTTCCTCTTAATATAACCTGTCAGTGTTCTTTTATCTAAAATTGTGCCATTAGAATTGCAGGCTGTGTTCTTTGCTTCTTAAGGTTCATAGTTCCTTTGTACTGTTATTTAAAATTTCACTTTGATACTATTGATTTTTCAAAATAAATCTATAATTAAAATAAAATGTACTCAATTTCAGCATACATTGCAGCATAAAATTTGCCAGGCATTGCCTTTTCACTAGACAATTTTTTAAAAGAATAAAAGTCATTTATTCCAGTGAGAGTTATCTCTCTTATCAGAGGGTCAGTGAACCTTAAGGCTTCAGTAAAGTACCATGTATATCATTTTTCAATACAAAAGATATCTTCTTTTTTTCAAATTGAATTTTTAGTGTCCTTATGTAGAATTCTTGCATTTGCTGTATTTTTGTATATTTATGAAAGTTCTATTCACAGTGCCCAAATGATGTTATTGCATCAGCTGATTACTATCTCATGTGAAATCCAGTCATTGTGTGGTCTGTCAATACTCAAAATGAATAATCAAAGTGTACACCATTTTTTCCCCCACAAAACACATTTGTTACAAGGTTAATTTAAAAGGCACAAAATAATTTATTAACTAAAAATACCTTACAGAGAGTTTGAAATTTGAATAAATGTACAACAATTTTTTATCAAATAACAAATTACATCTAGCCAACAAATAATGAACTACATGTATATATAGAAACCCTGAATCATGAAGTACAATCAACTTATTATTCTTTAGTGTTATTTATTATTTTATGTTGTTAATGGCGGTATTAGATGCCCTATCTGTTATTTTTGTTACTTTTTTAGTCTCGTAAGTCATAATAGTTTTGTACTCACCATTGGGACCTATATCATTATGTTTTGTTTGTTCAGTCTTGTGAAGGTTACCTTAATTAGTTGTTTTAATCAGAAAAATATACCATTTGCTTGATTTGTACTGGAATATGTTACACCAGTCAGACTATTCTGATGTTTGTATGCTATTTTCTTTGTTCCAGTTGAAACTTTTTTGTTTGCATGGAGTGATTTGCAATTGGATCTTTTTTTTGTATGTTTTAAGTGACTGTTAACTTTTTTGATTAAGACAGCTGGAAAAAGTATTTTTTACATGTTTAAGGGAATATGCCAGAGGTTTGAAAAACTGAACTGTTTTATGTGAAACAAGAAATTAATAACTTGATGTCAAAAAATCATGTTTGGGTCTTTCCAACTCTTATGATTTCAATATTGTCTGTCCTTTTTTCAAGGAATCAGTATAAAAGATGCTTGTAAAGTACATGTATTGAAAACACACCAAATTGATGGTAATCGAGAGAGATTTAAATGCATTTCTGCAAGGAAAGTAAAGTGCTACTGTATCGATTTGTCCAATATGCAATTTTTTTTACCTTTTATTATGCATTATGCTTTGCAAAATGTATTTGTAATATGTGTAAATATATATATACAGTATATGATTCTTCAGGGATTCAGTAGGTAAAATCAATATATTAGTAGATGTTGTTATTGACGGTTTATCAGTGTAATAATCAGTTGCAAATATATAACCTCTCTTGTGCCTTTGTATGTAAATGTTTTTTTTGTTACAAAGAGCCATGATCACCAGTTAAGAAAGTTCTCACAGAGAACCAGCTTAATGTTATCTTTATAAAAATTTATGGAAGAATAGGGTGATTAGTATTTCACATACAAACTTGATGAATGATGGAAAATCTCAACAAACCCTGTCCAGAAATGTGTGCAAAACAAACCTGTTTACAGTATTACTTATTTGTGCTTTAATTTTGGATAAATTAACTCAGTTTGAAAATGATATTTTAAAAGAAAAAATCTTGCCATTAAAGTGGAGATGCATACATATACTGCAGATGTGTCTATTTGTTGCTGTAACTGTTTACTAATTCTTACACACCAGAATTATATTGGTGAAAGTAAATGAAAATGATTATATATTTGATATACAGCATCATATATGATGCTGTATATCAAATCATTTTTACAGACATTTTTTGTTTCAGAAAATTTACCTTGATCTCAAAATTTGCAAAAATTATTGTCACACTGACAGTATAATAGCATTCTTCTTCACAGCTGCACAACTAGTCAAATGATAAAAACCTGATGAACAAAAATCAATTTTTTGACACACAGACATCTGACCTCATGTATATGGCCTTTGCACGAGCTGTATATTTGTAAAGATGTGCATTTTTATGAATGTGTTCAGTGTTGTATAAATAATTCTGGTCTTCTCACATGAGTAGCTGCTTTTATATGAGCTTTTGTACATGCTATCTGTTCCATTAATCATGTAAAGTTTGCCAAATTTATAGTGTCTTTCTTGTCAATAAATTGTCCTCCAGTAATCAGAGCTTATCTGTTTTTAAAAAAAATATTAAAATAAGAAGTACCTGAGTCCATGCCATTTCTCTTCCTGACTGATGAATGTGACCATAATGAAATCCCTTTATTGCTGCAATCAAATTCAACTCCATGGCTTCAAAAATTTTAATAATTTAGGCTTGATGTCAAGATAACAAGATGTAGTCCTGTTCTTGAGATGTTAATGCCCCCCTCCCTCTATTTTTTTAACAAGAGGCCCACGGGCCTTATAGGTCACCTGAGTATCGTGTAACAATTTTCCAACAATTGAATTTGGTTTGTATTTTAAACCAGAGGCCATGTAATTCCCAATTTTGAAAGAGGCACTATTGCTCATCATAACTATACAGTTAGCATGCTTACTTTGATTACTTAATACCCAGAGGCAGAGCAGAGGAACAAAAACAAGAGAAGTAGGAAGATCAGGATAAACAAAATAATTAGTCTAGTATTCACTATCAACTCAGAAATTGAGTTCTAATCTGTCCCCCACTTAACACTATCACCATGCAGCCTATTAACAAACTATTAGTGCTTCTGTGCTATTTTTAAACCCATATTAAGATCTCTAGCATTGACCTCTCTTATGGTCTTTGAAGAACTTTTAATAAGATAAGTTATTTTTGTCTCATTTTTATTTATCTATTACTTACAGGTCTATCTGATTATTAAAACTAAGAAAGTACTTTTTTAATTTTACGTTAAACATTCTTGCATAATTATCTTATTCTATTAACCTTTCAAATACATTATTTACAGTGATTAATTATCAAAGGTGAATGGAAAAGGGGAATAACTTCTCTCAGTAGAATACAAATTAATAGAGCCCTGCCCAGGACCAGAATGCTTAGACGAATGGTCCAGATGTTTAAAAATCTGGTAGAAATACGCTTACTCATATCATTAAACTTTTACTCAGTTTGCTTCCGATATGCGCAGAAGCAGAGAAGAATTTCACAGGTACAATGCATTTTCACTACAGATTCAACAAAGCCTTACCCTAACACCAGAACCCAAGACCAAGGGTCAAGAAATTTACAAATTTGGAAGAGTTACCCTCATCATCATTACTATGGACTTCAAAGAATTAACACTTTTCCACTATATTATCAAAAGCCACCCCCCCCCCCCCCTCGTTATGCCAGAACCCCTGACCCTAGGACCACAAAGTTTAAAAATTCTGTTCGAAGCTCCCATTTTCATCATAGCTAAGCAATTTATTTATCAGCTCAACACTAAGGAGCCGACAAGATTAATTAATGATTAATTAATAGAATTAATGCTTTATCACTATATAATCAATAGAGCCCCCCCCCTCCTCAAGAACCCCAAAAACTGAGGCGATATATTTAAAAATTTTGGAAGAGGCATCCTTGTCTATCATAATCATGCACTTAATTTGTTTAAATAATCTCCAGTAGCAGAGAAGAAGATTTTTAAAGAATCAATGCATTTTCACTATATAATCAATAGAGCCCCGCCCTAACACCAGAACCCCTGACCCTGGGGCCATGAAATTCACAATTTTGGAAAAGGCATCCTTATGCATCATAACCATGCACTTAGTTTGTTTAAATAGTCTCCAGTAGCAGAGAAGAAGATTTTCAAAGAATCAATGCATTTTCACTATATAATCAATAGAGCCCCGCCCTAACACCAGAACCCCTGACCCTGGGGCCATGGCTTTCACAATTCTGGAAGAGGCCTACCTCCTAATCATAACTATGTACTTAGTTTATCACCTTAATGCCCAGGAGGAGAGGAGAAGATTTTCAAAGAATTAATGCATTTTCACTATATAGTGGATAGAGCCCCGCCCTAACACCAGAACCCCTGCCCCTGGGGCCATGAAATTCACAATTTTGGAAGAGGCACTCTTGCTTATCATAACTAAGTACTTAGTTACTGAATTTAATACCCAGGAGCAGAGAAGAAGATTTTCAAAGAATTAATGCATTTTCACTATATAATCAATAGAGCCCCGCCCTAACACCTGAACCCCTGATCCAGGGGCCATGAAATTCACAATTTTGGAAGAGGCACTCTTGTTCATCCTAACTATGTACTTAGTTACTGAATTTAATACCCAGGAGCAGAGAAGAAGATTTTCAATAAATTAATGCATTTTCACTATATAATCAATAGAGCCCCGCCCTTACACCAGAACCCCTGCCCCTGGGGCCATGAATTTCATAATTTTAGAAGAGGCACTCTTACTCATCATAACTATATATTTAGTTAGTTTATTTAATACCCAGGAGCAGAGAAGAAGATTTTCAAAGAATTAATGCATTTTCACTATATAATCAATAGAGCCCCGCCCTAACACCAGAATCCCAGACCCTGGGGCCATGAAATTCACAATTTTGGAAGAGGCACTCTTACTCATCATAACTATATACTTAGTTAGTTTATTTAATACCCAGGAGCAGAGAAGAAGATTTTCAAAGAGATAATGCACTTTCACTATATGATCTATATAGCCCCGCCCTAGCACCAGAACCCCTGACCCTGGGGCCATGAATTTCACAATTTTGGTAGAGGACTCAATGCTCATTACAATGATGCCAACAGTTTGACTGCTTGATGTCCAGGAGTAAAGAAGAAGATTTTTAAAGATTGCATTAATTTTGGTGGTTTTAGCCCCACCCCTCAGGCCCCAGGGGGGCAGGGACCATGAAATTAACAATTTTTGTTCCCCTTCACCCATAGATACTATATGCCAAATTTGATTGAAATTGGTTGAGCGGTTCCAGAGAAGAAGCTAAAAATGTTCAAAAGTTTACGACCGACAAACGACGTACGACGACGTACGAAAACGGATAGCAATAGGTCACCTGAGTTTACTCAGGTGACCTAAAAAAAGGAGGCATATTATACTGACAATAAATTGCGGCTTGATATCAAGTCAACAGGACATAGGTCTTGTTCTGTAGATTTTTATGTCCCCCTTGAAAAAGGGGGCATATTGATTTGCACCTGTTGGTCTTTATACCAATCGTTCTCCCATCAATATCTTGAGAACCCTTTGCTTGACGACATCAAACTTGGTACACTAGTACCCCCTAAGGAGTAGACGACCCTTATTGATTTTGAGGTTACAAGGTCAAGGGTCAAACTACTCTGCACATAGGGAATGAGACCATTTGCTTAACTTGATACACTGACCTCTATTGATTTGGAGGTCACAAGGTCAAGGGTAAAACTTCTATGGACATGTGAAGATATTTTCTGCTCAGTATCTTAAGAGCCCTTTGCTTGTATTACAATGGTAGCCCCGAATTAGATAACTCCTATGAATTTGAGGAAACAAGGTCAAAGGTCAAATTTCTCTTATTGTAAGAAAATATTGTCAGCTCATTGGCACTCTATACCTTAAGAACATTTTGCTTGACAAACATCAAACTTGATACTTGATACACTGGTACCCGACCCCAATTGATTTTGAGGTCATAAGGTCAAGGGTTAAAATTCTCTGGATGAAATATATGGAGATAACGAACAGTATTCAAGCTCAAAAGTCCATTAAACAATACAAAATAGGAGCAGAGCAAACACGGACCTCTAAACATCAGAGGTGGGATCAGGTGCCATGGAGGAGTGAGCATCCCCTGCCGACCGGTCACACCCGCCGTGTGCTCCTTGTCATGATCGGGAAATAACGGAAAAATCCGTCGACAATTCAGTGTGTCAATAATGGCCTAACAATTAGTATGAAAAAACGTCAGTCAGCATTTGACTCAATGATAAATTGTATTTGCTGACAAGGTCATTGTATCGACCATAGAACTTACGAAATGATGACTTTAAACGAGACAGCTGATATTCTTGTTTCATCAACTTGTTTGTCAATAATTTACCTCGTTTTAGAAATTGTTCATACGTAGAGCATGCTCTTGCGTATCGAATCAACTGAGAGATATATACCCTGTATGCAGGTGATGAAGGTATATTGCTGCATAAGTAAGGGAAGTTGACGATTGAAAAGTTAAAGTCATCACGTTTATCATAAAGCTTGGTTGTTAGATTACCATTAACGTCTTTTTCAAGTAAAATATCCAAATATGAAACAGATGTGTCAGACTCTGTGGTATCTTTTATCTCAAGCTCACCAGGATATATCGTATCGACATAAGAATGAAAATAGCCATTGTTAATTGACAATACATCGTCGATATATCTAAATGTCGAGTTGAAGGCCACAGCAAGTGTTTTCTTCTTTTCACATACAAGATTTTGGACAAATTCTGCTTCATATGAATACAAAAAAAGGTCTGCTAATAACGGGGCGCAATTGGTACCCATGGGAATTCTAATAGATTGTTGGAAGACCTGGTCTCCAAAAACCACATAGATATTGTCAATCAGAAACTCAAGCATCTTTTTAATGTCAACTTCAGAGTACTTGTGTGTACAATCAGAATGTTTTTTAACAAAATAATTTTGCAAATGACCAATGACAAGGTAAGTATTTTTACGAGTTCCATTTTTATTGAAAAAGCAGCTGTCAAGTATATCAAAAAGCCTGGACTTTAATTTATCGTGGGGAATGGTTGTGTATAAAGTAGAAAAGTCATAAGTTTTCAAGCTGTTGATTTTGGTAAAATCTTGCGATTTCAAATTTTCCAAAAGTTTCTTGGAATTTTTAAGTATCCACATCTGATTTACACCACTTCTCGAATATATTGTTGCACAGTACTCTTGAAGTTTCTCCTTCACTACTGTTAATATCTTAGTGAGGAGTAGAGAAAGAGGCTTGGTTGAACATTTACTGGAACCCGCTATGTATCTTTGTTTGTAAGGATTTTTATGAAGTTTCGGAATCCAATATAAATATGGTAATTCAAATTCATTTTGGTTGTTTGGAATATTAAAAATATTTAAAACTGACATATGATTTTGAAGAATTTCTTCCTTAGAAAGGGAACTACGAGTATAAGTTGGATTACCACTTGTAGAATTAAATCCAAGTTCCTCTACAATACATTTAATATTATGAGCCTTACAAACAAAGACAATGTTGTTACCTGCTTTGTCAGCAGGGACCAGTACGTACTGATCGTGTAATCTATCTAATTCTTTTTTCACTTCTGGATTATTGAATACAGAAGGATAGATGGTTCTCATATTGCCCCTCAATCTTTTAATGCGTGATTTTAACATGCATCTGATACATTTAATCCATTCTGACAAAGTGTCAAGGTCTTCTTTTTCATGTCTGGCCCATCGCCTGGCGTAGTCCTCTACAGAATCCATAATATTTATGAAATTCCGACGCCAGTTGAAGGATCGGGGTTCCCTAAATTTAGGATCTTTTAAAATTAGTGATCTAAGGTCCTCATTATTAACTATATTAACGTCACCAGTAATAACGTGTCCAGCAGGACTATAGTTATAGGGCGAAGAAGAACATGAACACGATGGAGGATTATGTTTCAGATATTCGATATCCAGGCCCTGTAAAGTTATATAAGAAGTTGGTCAATTAAGAAATAACAATTTCCAATTGGTTACATTACAGACATTCTAAACTTAAAGTTGATCCTTTTCAATATTGCAACATGGGGAGCATATATGTTTCTAAAACAATTTTTATGCCCCACCATGAATATGGCTGGAGCATACAGTGTTTTTCATGTCTATCTTCCATCCTTCTGACACACTTTATGTTTAGCTCAGTTTCAAAGAAATTATTCAAATATTTTTATCAAACTTCATATGCTGATACATATTCATGAGAGCTATTCAACTGCATCAAAATTTTTTGACTTTGACCTCACTTTTCAAAAGTTTGTGTTTAGCTCAGTTTCAAAGAAACTGTTCCAGATATTTTTATCAAACCTTACATACTGATACATATTGATGAGTGCTATTCAACTACATCAACATTTTTTGGTCTTGACCTTTCCTTTGACCCAGGCCTCACTTTTTTTTTTTTTAGCTCAGTTTTAACGAAACTTTTCAAGATATTTTTATCAATCCTTGTATGCTCATACATATTGATATGTGCTATTCAACTTCATCAACATTTTTTGACCTAGACCTTCCTTTGACCCTGACATCTTTTTCTTTAATTTAGGTTTAGCTCAGTTTTAAAGAAACTATTCAAGTTATTTTTATCAAACCTTATATGCTGATACATATTGATAAGAGCTATTCAACTTCATCAAATTGCTCCATCTTGACCTTTTCTTTGACCTTGGCCTTACTTTTCTTAAATTTGTGTTTGGCTAAGTTTTGAAGAAACCATTTTATTCCAGAATGAAACAAATGTTTTGGCAAATAATGAAGTCATTTTAAAATGTTTGTAACAATATTAAAAAAACTTCAAATCTGTGTCTAAGCACCTTTAAAGGTGCTTAGACACAGATTTGAAGTTCATATTTACTCAAATTTTCTGTATAATTTCATGACTTATATGTTGCTATAGCATTTCATACGAAAATTTGATAAAAATCTTATTTTATCTGGAAGTTATTGCAACTTCGAATTTCTTGACGCGTTTGATAGACACATCCTTGCACTTTCACAAATTTTAACTTTATCCTTATTACTTAAGAAAAGTAGCAATTTTGTTGTTTATTAATGAAAAATATTGAGTAAATATGAACTTCAAGGGTGTGTTAATCAAACGCCTCCCGAAATTCGTAGTTTCAATAATTTCCAGATTAAATAAATTTTTAATTTTATTTTCGTGTGAAATTCTATAGCAACATATAAGTTGTGATATTATACAGAAAATTTGAGAAAATATAAACTTCAAATCTGTGTCTAAGCACCTTTAATAATCTTTAGTGCCATTTTGCTATAAAGTGTCTTCTTTTCAGTTGTTGTATTAAAATTATTTTAACTTTTTCCAAATGTTATTTCTAAACTCATTCCATTCTGTGTAGATCTTTGTTGCAGATGAACTTAAATTGAGTGCCAAAGAGAATGACGTCGGTGCATTGTTGACATGCGGCGATAGATGAAACCCAACATTGTGTTTATTTTAATATTGTAAAAAGTAATGCATATATATATAATATTGGTTATTAAAGGTTTTATAGCAGTTGTAGCATTACTTTAGGTTCAACCCTCCTAGTTTCAAGTTTATCATCTGAAAACTAAAGTGTACCATTTCATAACATATGAATTTCTGACCTGAACTTTGACTTTTAATTTCAGAATCTGTCAGTTATAGGGAGTTATAATATGAAATTTTACTTAAGTAGTTCTAGAGATATCACACAGAAATTAAAGTGTACCCTGTCATAACATATCATGTGTGAATTTGATAACTCAAAATCAATAGGGGTCTTCTTCAAGTCATAAGGGGTTCTGATATAAAATTTCTCTGCAAAATCTTAAGGACTTTTAGAGATATCATCCAGAAACAAATAGGTTACAAACATGATAGACAGATGGATGGACAGATGGACAGGCAGACCCAAATTAACATCCCCTGCTTTAAGTAAGTTAATTATGTAAACAATTGTAAACAAATTCAGAATGACATTGGAATGTTCAGTCTCTTTTACTACATCACTCTCAAAGTAAGTCATTCTAATTTTTTCAGTGTGTTTTCAGTTAAAAATTTGGCAGTTTGTCTTGAGAAACTCTGTTAAATAATGTAAATGTAAGGCACTTATTCCAGCAAAAGCTTAAAACAATATGAGTAAGTCATAGCATTTATTTTCAGTTTAAAGATTATTTGGTTAAAATACAAAAAAAGAGTACTTTTCACATTTGTTTCTATATGGCACAAACAGATACAAAAACAAAAACAAAAAAAAAACAAAAACCTGGTACAAAAGTTGGAACAACATTGTCATTAAAATAATAGTTTATGTATAAACCCTAGATAAGGTCAACCTGATTGATTGTAAAAATCAAAGCTGGAATGTTATCATGTTTTTTATATACATGTATTTACAAAATGGACAATCTAATAAAAATTTGGCACAATCAAAAGACATGTCATTCCTGTCATCTTTTTAATACACATACCAAAATCTTGCACAAAACAACACACTTCCTGAAAGATGGGTTATTGCTTAATACTCATAGGAATAAAAGTTCATATAATTAAAACATTAATGAAGAATAAGTCACAGCTTTACAGAATAACGACTCTTGAAACTGATTCTGTAAACCTGAGGAAAAACTGGGGCAATTTAAGAACAATGCATTTTGTGAGATTTTGGGACTTAATTAAAGTCACTGATTGGTTTATGAGAAGAATACACCCTGTATACAATTACAGTGTTAGTGCAGAAAACATAAAATGATCCATTGTAAGTTTGCAATTGTCTCGTTTTATTTACTTTTCATTAAGACTGCTGGCCAATTTTTTTCCCATAATCACTATGGCAACCACAACTCCCAATCCAAGAGTGACCTTGACAAATGTCCTTGATTTGCTTCTCCTTGGTTTTGTTTGTGGTGGCAAGAAACTGGAGGGTCCATAGGCTGTAGAAGCAAGCTCTTGGGCAGACACAGCCTGAGGTCGAAGTCGAAAGAGAACCTCATTGGCAGCTCTAAGTCCTGACTGGACAGCACCACTCATATATCCACACCAAGCAGTTGCTGATTCTGACCCAGCAAAATGAATCCTGAAATGTTCAAATATTTTCTCTGTGAACCTATAAGTAAATAACTAACCCAAGTACAAAAATATAATTCATGTCCTGAAAATAAAATACACATTTTTTTTTTGTTTTTTCAGGGTTCGACACTAACGTTAGTCCATTAGTCTCAGACTTATACATTTTCATTCGGACTAATAAAATATGTGGCTAATTAGTCTGAACGGATCAATAAAAATTTCTGAAAAACAATATGAATAAATTACCGATGTCTGAATCTCGATAACTTTTACTGGAAAACCCTTCGTGTATTTTTAGATTTCTAGCTTTTGACGGGTAGTTACGCAATGCCGGGTCAATTCAGCTCTTAATTTTTCGACTGAAATATGAGGTATAAGGTTTCAGCGATCATGATTTAGTATGACACTTTTAAGAAAGATATTGGATGTTTTGGATGTACATGTAATGTAAAGACAAAAAAAAAAAAAAACGAGATCGGGAATACGATCGTACTTGCTGATTGCGAGATTTCAATGAATCTGTGAAACAATATATTTCACGTAAATACTTTTATTATTTAAAAAAATAATATGTATATTAATTGTCACGTTAAATTAATGTTAAAAAACATTGATATTTCTTTTTTTGACGGACTAATAAAATCGCGTGCGGACTAGTAAAAGTAATGAAGCACTAGTCCGGCTGGACTAAAGCCTTAAAAAGTTAGTGTCGAACCCTGTTTGTGTAAACACAGAACTGGTGTCAATGTCAATAGATAGAATTTTACGAGGGTAAATTTCGAGATTTTTGATTATAATACCTTCCACTTTTGGATTATTTTTGCAACAATAGAGAAACATACTAAATACACATACACCTATATGTATATAGAAGATTCAATGTTTTGTAGATGAATATGGAAATTTTTGGGATTTTTTTTCTTTATTTTCATGTTTGCAAATTTTTTCTGATCGCAACAAACTCAAGAATGACCTGTATCTAATCCTTCATCAAAACCATAACTTTCACAACAACAATCCTTACCTATTAAATGGCAGTCTCAGACCCTTGGAAAAATAAGCCATTGCCCCTGGCCCCACAGTACACACAGGGCTGCCCTCATTGTAGGGCTCCACACCCCAGTCCTTTTCTGCATAGTCAAGATAGTTCAGAGCCTCAGGTCCTAGGAAATCTGATAGGGATTTTAACACTGCAGATCTCCTGTCTTCTTCCTATAACAGTAGAGTTATTTTAAACCATTGGAAAAATTGTAATTGTGTTTTCCATGAAACACTGTTAAACTAAGTACATAGAGAAAAGTTGTAATATCTCCCTTCTAAACAGTCCACAATTGTTGTATTATTCTGAAGAATCTAGCTTTTTGAACCCTTTTACCTTTTGATTTCTCCACTGTATGGCAGGTGCCCCTCCCAGAAAAGCTACAATGGCAGCATTTCCTCTGGCTGATGTGGCATCATACACAATACAGAGTGGTCCCCTGTCACATTCAGTTGACACACTAGGTCCACCATTTGTTACAAATTCTCCTGATAAACCTGCTTTCCTCCAGAATGCCTGCAACATTTTGGATTTAATCAATACACAATTCAGTTGAAGGATTTGCAATCAAAATTATCCTAGTATTATATCCTAGTATATTATTTTAAAGTGTATACATCCATCTCAATAAGAAGCACACAATTTTGGTAGCTTTGAAATGAAAAAAAAAAGATCAAATGACTATACTTCTCTGTAAGTGACAATGATTTTGGTCAGATCTCCAGCAGGCATTCTCTTCGTTAGTTCTCGTCTACTGAAAGGTAAGATAGGATCAAACTGTATCCTTTCTAGAAAAAGAAAACAATCAAATTACAAACCATGAAAATAGAATTTAAAATAATACAGGAAATAGACTTAACTCCTTAAAGCAACATTAAAATCAATGTTGGAAGGGATTTTGGAGTAGACATTGCTTAACATGTTAGGTGTAGTATAATGACAAAGTGGGACTATCTCTTCTAAATGTGGAGAGGTGGGATAAAACAGAGTGGGCCTTATTTCAAATGTGGGGAGGTGGGATAAAACAGAGTGGGCCTTATTTCATATGTGGAGAGGTGGGATAAAACAGAGTGGGCCTTATTTTATATGTGGAGAGGTGGGATGAAACAGAGTGGACCTTATTTTAAATGTGGGGAGGTGGGATGAAACAGAGTAGACCTTACCTTTTGGGGGGATGAGACAGAGAGAGTCTAACTTGCAATGTTAGGTGAAGCATAACAATAGTGTGGGCAATGATAAAAAGGGATTAAATGAGTGGGTGCCTTACTTATATGTTGGGGGGTTAAAGAATGGGCTTTACTTGTAATGCTGGGGGGGGGGGGGGGCACAAAAGAGTGGGCTTTAATTGTAATGTTGGAGGGGGGCAAAAAAGAGTGGACTTTCCTTGTAATGTTGGTGGGAAGGGCACCTTGTAATGTTGGTGGAAAGGGCACAACAGAGTGAACTTTATTTGTAATGTTAGGTAAAGTTTAACAGCAGTGGAAGGAAATGAAAATCAACACAGTGTATAATGCTGCTGTATCATAATGAAAAACAATGAAAGAAAAACATTCTTTTGTGTTACATATAGTGTAAATCAGTGCACATAGGGACTTACTTGTCATGTTGGGTGGAATAGCCAGGACTAATCTGTCACAACTGTACACATCCCCCTTCTCTGTTGTCACAAACACTCCATTTTCCTGCTGCAAGGACAATTTCAAAATACTAGTCAGTTTACTGACAGCTTAGAGACAGACCTTTTCAACAAATTCATTATTGCTTATAAAACTTTTTTTCTGACAATAAGCTCTGACAAAATAAACCTTAGTCACATATAAATAAATGTTGGTTTACAGCATACAAAATACATGTATTTTTGACAGGACATTTCAATTTTCTGATTTTAAGAGAAGGTATTTAAATTAGACCTGTCTGATTTTGCTGACAGGTTGTTGTAGCTGAACACAAGAAGGAGGGAGGGAAGCTGCTAACTTCTGACTGATCTGCTGGGCTCCTCCCTACAAAATACAGAAGAATTCCTCAATTCTGGACAATAATATCTTGTGCATGAGATGTGAAAAAAAACCTTACTCACTTGTTATGAAATTACTGTATATTGAAAATTTTCTGTTCTAATTTTATTTTCACCCTTTTGCCCTCAACAGAGTTATCTCCCTTTATCAACGCAATGTCCTGGTTAAGCAAATTAGCTGGTTCATGTGTGATTGAGTGAAAATAACACAAGAATAAATAAAATAGTTTGTAGAGGTTTAAGTACTAATATAAATTTATTTTTAATATATTTTTTTAAATTACTTTGGATTTCCTGACCTTTGTAATTTACATATATCTAAAGCTTTAATTAATAAGAATTGCCTGTAACAATTTTGAAGAAATCAATGAATTTTGCAAAAAACTACTTAAATTTTATGAAAATTAATTGCTTAATTGTGAGTGAACAAAAATTGCAATATTTTTCTCTTTTTGCAATTGAAGTAGGAAACACAAAATGATACTTTCCATAACAAACACACACACATACACACATGGGCACCAAAGAGCAGCTCATTCCTTGCAACGCATTACTGCATTCAATGACCACAATTTAGTGAATTAATACTGTGTTCAAAATATAATACACATATTATGTACAAATTGTTGAAATCGATGCCTTTCGTCTAGATATTTGTCAATTTTTCTATTGCAACTACAATCTCAGAACAATTTTAAGAAACTTGAGAGCTCACATAGCAACCTAAAATTGTGTTGAAAAAGTTGTCAAACTTTTATCACTGCCCTCAAAGTAACCTTTAACCTTTCAACTTATGGATCAATAAGCCTCTTCCTTTTACCTAAAATCCATCTCTGTAGCAAGATTTAAAGCTAAAGTGATGATTTACAACATTGCTATGAATCCAGGATGAATCGATGCATGATTATTTGGGCTAGTTACCAATACTTTACATGTATCCCCTGGTGCAACTTTGTTGCCATCTTCACAAGCCACAGATTTCTGTGTCCACTCTAGTTCCACAAATAGAATGGACAGAAAACCCCATGGCTTGCAAAGATGCTATTTTGGGATAAAAAAACAAAACTTACGGCATTTTTTTGTAAAGATCACCAGTTATTACCCTTAGCATCTGTTATGTCTTTCACTTTGTTTAGTACAGAATTTGCTTACCACAATTTTATATTCCTGTGCTGTGTATTCTGTGGCCTCTACAAGATTCTTCAGACCGCCAGCAGCACTCACGTAACTTATAAAGTATAGTACAGAAATCTGTGATAACTCCACACCAAGCACACAACGACAGGCCGACTCAATAGAATCTTTGGCACCTGGTAAAGAAGACAATAATTAAAGTATATCAACTGAAGGTCGTTAAGAAAGGACAAGATATGTAAATAACTTTTTATTAACGAGAACTTTATTTTCGCGTATTTATGAGAGACAGTCTGCTCGCCAAAATTTCATTTTCGCTTATAGTAGTATTGCTAAAGATTATATAGAGCAGTGACTACAATTTGTAAAAATTTTGTCTCGCTAATAAAAAGAGTAAATGTCCATCTCATGAAAATAAGGTGTCACAAAAATTTAGTTATCTATGTACTTCTGTAGACTCATGTTCATAATTTTATTTTATATGAAAATAAGAGCCTTCCACGTCAGGTGACATAACACTCCAGGCCCCAGGATCATGATACATCTTAAGCTTAAGTCAAAATCTTTATGTTGTACTAAAATATTGTAAAAGTCAAGCACAACAAAATTAAAATATTTTTCGATGTTGCTATACAAAAGTGTTGTTATCTGCAAATTTAGAGATCAATTCAATAATTAATAAATATTTTACAGGCAATTGAAAATTTGACTTAAGTCTAAGTCTGTTTCATGATCCTGGGGCCAGGGCTTTCCTGTAACCTCGGGGCAAATATTCTGTGATACGTACAGTATATGTATATTGTATAATATCTAAGACCTAGCTGATGTACATGTACTGACTGACAAAAAATAATTTCAATCACCAATATATGACTTTGATACATTCACATCATTTTATTTAATCTATTTTTATTTCTTGGCAAGATTTTGTTTCCCTTGATTTAAATAAAACTGATTTCCTATTTGGTCATTCACTTTACATTTAGTCTTACATCATATAAAATTCTAAAAATTAGACAATTAAAACCTTCAAACATTTTAAAAAACCTTTAGTCCAAAGTTGTTTATTGATAAATGTGTCCATGGTCATGGAATCCCACTCAGCTCCATACGGACTCTGGTATGGATCCCGGATATCAACTTGCTTTCTCATCCACTCCAGCTGCAATTAAAAAATATGGGTTGAAAAAATGGGAGTAATTAATGCACCATTTTCCCCTCTCATTATTACAGTCATTAAGTTATAATTTTCATGAAAACCTATTGGTTGGAAATTAAAAATTAAAAAAAAAAAGCTGACAGAAAAATAAAACGTTGCACATTGTCTTTTTTCCTCCTGTTTAGTCTCAGATTTAAACCCTTGTTATAGTCTCCAATTTTCTTTTAAATCAAGAAAACAGTTTTTCCTTGTAGATTTATCACTTTTTGATAAAATTCTGCACTTTTCAGACTTTGTTGCACAAATGCAACTCTCATTAAAAATCATGTGATGTCACAGTCTAGATATTACAAATGTCTTGTGGAAAGATGAATCTAAGTTAACTAAACCTGAGTAATCCAGAAATACACAATATTTACCGTACTCACTCTAACAGTTGCACTGTATATAATATAAACAATATATAAAGTGTTGACTCATATTACCATTATAGAAGCACTCCCCTTATTCAAGATTTATCTAATGATTTAAATAGTGACACAAGGAAATTTACACTTTCACACTAACTATATGTACAGTTTCTATTCCTTGCACAAACCTTGAACATTAACTTCTGAAGATCAATCAGTGCTAGTGGGGACAGCGAGGGGATATCTGAGCTATAGCTGCTAATTTTGTCACTTCCCAGCTGCATAAACTTCTTTCCCTCCAGATACTGGACATGTGTGGACAGTCCCAACTCCTCCAACAGGGCAATAATGTGGGGCTGGGACCTTAAAAATAAACAAAAATACTGAAATCTAATAACTTAAAGATGCTTCTAATGATATGCACAATCACATTAGTGACATAATTTGCAATTCTACAGCTGCAAAAAATCAAAAAACTGAACTGATTTTGATTTTTAAGCAGATATTGTAACAGTTGCCTGTGCCTGCATAGTACAGCATATTACAACATATGGGTCAATAGATGTTTTTTTTTTCAACTAAAAGCATATATTTATATTTGCCAACCCTCAAGAAAAACACTAGTACATAAATATTACCATTAAAGCCATTCAATTAAAACAATACATTTTTTTTCTAATTAAATCTAATTGTTAGGTATGAATCTTAGAATTCCTGGAATTCCTTCATTTTGAAAAAATACAGTGAAACTTGTCTAATCTGGATGTTGTGTATTCTGAAATTTTTGCCTGATATGATGTTAACTTCAAGTCCAGCTTTCAGTCAACTCCAATTTAAAAAAAACAAATGCTGTCTAACTGAAATGTTGCCTAATCCCACCAATTTCTGTGGAACCAGTTGTGTACAGATTAGACATTCAAGTTTTACTGTATATATAATTAAAACAGATAAATAATTATGTCAAAATCTGAGCATAATTACCTTCCAACCCACTGGCCTCCAAGGTCAAAATTATCTGTTCCATCTGCTGCTTTTAAGGGTAACGTTAATGTTCGTCCACCAACTTTGTCTATTAAAGATAGAGGGGAAAATGATTTCATGGACAGCTGCACAATTTGTTTTTCATTGGAAGGTGGATGAAGACTACTTTTAAATTGAATAATTCACTTTAAAATTAACAGATTTAATTAAAAAATTAACTATAAAGTCACTCATATCAGTCTAGACGAACTCCAAAAACAGCGTTTCCGGAAGTAAGAAATCGAGACTGAAAAAGACTCCGAAAAAAGAGTCCGCGCATGCGCACCCATACAAAAAATGGCGATTTTTCGGCAAAAATGACGGGTCTACAAAAACTGTCCGTGCAAAGTTTTGGAAAGTATGGCAATTATGACAGTACTCAGAAATGCTAAATAAAAGACTTCGGAAGAGATCGTATTTGTCAGATTTTTTATTTTATTTGCAAAAAAGGAGATATTTACTTTCAAAGTTGGCGTTTGAAGTCAGATTAATTACAGAGAAAATAATACGTTTGAGAAGTAAATATGCATAGTAAAAGGGATATATATATGCAAAATGGGACAATATATATTGTAACTGTTAAAAACTTGACTGAATTTTACACATAAATGAGCAATCCGGTGTTTTATTTGTGTACGACATCTGAATTTAACATGTAAGTTCTTACCATCGTTATTTACCGATTTTTTTATCACATACGAACAAATATTATTGTGAAAACATTTTTATGACTATAATCTATCAATATGAAAACTTTAAAAACCGCTCTTCTAGAAATTTAGGTCGCAACATGTCTTCTAAAAATAAACCTGTGAATATCTCTGCTGCGTGGTGAAAAATACGTTTTTTCTGATTAAAATAAACACAAGCTGGGTGTCTTCAAAACAAATAAAAGCACCTTTATTTTAGGAACGACATAAAATTTAAATCAAGGGAACAATAAATCAAATAAGAAAATAATTCTTACCAACAGTACTGAATTCGATGTCGTATATCCAATTTACTATTATGCAAGAGTTTGAAGCAATAGATACGTAAGTCAGTATCCACAAAATAATTTAATAAATGTTTCCATTCAACAAAAATTGAAATAAAGTCACAATGCACTAAATACAGCCATTATGCAGCCGTATATTTGGAGAAAGCGAACGACAATCCACCGTTTGTTTACATTGGACGCCATTTTACCGCAATGCATGATGGAGCCAAAGACTTTGTTTTCGGAGTTCACGCCGTTTTTGGAGTTCGTCTAGACTGCATATAAGCAAATGACACACACATGCACGCAAAAACTGTTTATTCCCCTGACTCTTACCCTCTGCTTTTATACTTTGACTTTTGTATAAAAGCACCCTAGAGTCAGAAGAATCTCAAAGGTTGTATACACCAGGTACACTGTACATCTGACATTTCATCAGCTGTTCATAAGAGCAGGGACCTATATACTAACTTAGTATATAGGTCCCTGACAAGAGTGGAATCACATTTTTTTTCATTGCATATATTGACATTTTATAACCTTTACTGGGTTAGTTACTTTTGGCCTCTAACACAACAATCTGTAAAGATGAATCCTTTTTATGAAGCTGATAGGCAGCAGTCAGTCCCGATATACCTCCACCCACCACCACAACATCTACATTCATTTTCGAACAACGATTCCCGCGGTTCCGAGTCAATTTCCTCCCCTAAAAATTAGTGCATAAGAATAATTGAAACTGAGTTAAGATGCAAAACGTAAATTGCAAGGTGATGATGACTAGATTTAAAACGTTTATGAAATACAAACAAATTATACTGTGATAACATCTTCATAGTGTACCTCTCTCAATTTTGACTAATATATTATTTCATAGACCTCAAGCTATGATTGATTTCTCTGGCGTAAATTTGACTAGACACCGCATGACTCGTTGTTCGAAAATGAAAGTAGATGTTGTTGTGGTGGGTGGGGGTATATCGGGACTGACTGCTGCCTATCAACTTCATAAAAAGGATTCATCTTTACAGATTGTTGTGCTTGAAGCCAAAGGTAACTTAACCAGCTAAAATTATAAATTGTCACAGTGTATAACTTTGTAAATGCAATGTTTATGTAACAGTTGTTTAAAACAGTGATTTAACTTGATATAGCTTGAAATATAACTATAATAGCTTTATCAAGCTATTCGAAATCGCTTGATAAAACTATTTATATGCAGTTTTTTGTAAGAATGAGACAAAAAGTCGCAAGTATTTGACTATTCATAGATGTACTATGAACTATCAAAAAAGCAACCAAACTAAAAGATAGTTTTAACCTGTAAACGTTGCAGCTTTTGAGTACTTTTAAGCAAAAGAAGAATTTCCATTGTTTGAGTAACTGTACATTTTCTTGCGTGCGTTAAGGCGTGGATAAGTATGATTGCTTCTCATTTTGCTGAATTATTAGCAATCAATTATCTTGTTGTCATGAGCATAATTTAGTGATCTCTTTTATAATTTCATTCAAGAAGTAAGTGCATGGTCACAAATTAACTGCTTTATATAGCCTCAAAACTTTTAGAACTTTGAGTACAAAGTCTCTCAAGGAGACGCAGTTTGATGAGTGCATGATTTTAACATGCATTATTTTCAGAAGAGTTCAAGCTAGCTTGAATTATTATCACTACACCAAGGTGCAACTTTTTGTACATGCTGAAAAAATAATATATTTAAGAAAAAAAAAGTGTGATAAAATAGCTAAATCAAGCTATTCTTAATAGCTTAATAAAGCTTTATAGCTAAATAAAGCTATATAGCTAAATCAAGAGATTGTGTGACTTGTGTTGGACCTGACCTGACTAGTGATGCAGGGGTCCCAGGTTCGATTCTCGGTCCAGTCATACATTTTCTCTTTTCCTGTTACAATTCAATGAAAACAAATTTTGGCATCAGAATTTTCATGCAAGAATGCCTTAATCCAATAAATTAATTTTTCCCCTTTATTTGTAGACAGAGTTGGTGGACGAACATTAACTTTACCATTAAAAGCAGCAGATGGAACAGATAATTTTGACCTTGGAGGTCAGTGGGTTGGGAGGTAAATAATAGCTAGTGTATTTCAAGATTAACATGATTAAGGACTTTTTTCATTAAGATTTCTAGGACAATATTTAGCAAAAAGATCAGCATAAGATATATATAAAAAGAGTCCATAAATTATATTGAGTCATGTTTTGGGTTTCTTTAAACATGTTTTAAGGTGGTTGGCAAGGCAGATACAAAGTTGCTTTCATTGACCTCTTCATTAATTTCCACTGATTCACCCTTTGTATGCACTTAAATTTGCAAGCAACAGTAGCTACCTGATATATGTTTTCTAAATGTGACGTAGTCATTATATTTAGCTTATAACTAAGTTGCAGTTTTTAGCTCACCTCGACAAAGTCCAGATGAGCTTATGCTATACCCCCGGCATTGGCATAAGCGTCGACATCCCTGTTAAAGTTTTAGGAGCTAGTCCATTCCCAAGTAACTATAAACCCCCTAATTTGCGTGGATGATGCATCTAGGGATGAACATTACCACACTTGCTTCAGATGCTGGATCTGACCTAGATTTTCCAGATGAGTGACCAGGTTAAAGTTTTTGGAGCAGGTCCATTCCCAAGTAACTAAAAGCCCTACCTGGATCAAACTTGCATGGATGATGCATCTAGGGATGGACACTACCACACTTGCTTCAGATGCTGGATCTGACCTAGATTTTCCAGATGAGTGACCAGGTTAAAGTTTTTGGATCAGGTCCGTTCCCAGGTAACTATATGCCCTACCTGGACCAAACTTGCATGGATGATGCGTTTAGGGATGGACACTACCACACTTGCTTTGGATGCTGGATCTGACCTAGATTTTCTAGATGAGTGACCAGGTTAAGATTTTGGAGCAGGTCCATTTCCAAGTAACTACAAGTCCTACCTGGACCAAACTTGCATGGATGATGCATCTAGGGATTCACACTACCACACTTGCTTCGGATGCTGGATCTGACCTAGATTTTCCACATGAGTGAATTTTAGCCATATTTTAACCAAATTAGCATGGATGATGTATCTACATGTATGAATGGATACTTCTAGACTTGCTTTGGATTCTGAATCTGACCTACATTTTCCAGATGAGTAACCATGGTAATTTTTTGGAGTAGCTATATAATATTATGACCTGCTATGATTAAACTTGCATAGATGGTGCATCTAAGGATGAAAACTTCCAAACTTGCTTTGGATGTTGTAACTGATTAAAATTTTCTTGATTAGTAAACAGGTTAAAAGTTTTTTAAGTAGGTCTATTTCCAAGTAACTATAAGTCCTACTTAAACCAAACTTGCATGGATATCGATCTTGGGATGTAGTCACTAACTAGAAAAAAAAAATATGATGTGAAATTTGCTGTACTTTTAGATAACATTCTTTTAGGTGAGCATCAAAATCTTTGAACATGTTAAATTACTTATGTTTTTGATTGCATGTGCATGGTTTGACCATGTTATGATTTCATGTTTTTCAAAACTGCAGATGTCAGCCCCACATTATGGCCCTGTTGGAGGAGCTGGAACTGTCCACACATGTCCAGTATCTGGAGGGGAAGAAGTTTATGCAGCTGGGAAGTGACAGAATTAGCAGCTATAGCTCAGATATCCCCTCGCTGTCTCCACTAGCACTGATTGACCTCCAGAGATTTATGTACAAGGTTGGTTTAAGTATTAGGATACTGCTTTATGGAAATTAATTCATCAGAGATCAGTTCTTGAAACACCCCTCCTCTTTTCACTCTTGAGTATAACAGGAAAATCTATCAGCATTCCAATGAAACCAACTTTTTATTGGAAAAAGTGAATATATTTTGATTTTTTTTGCATAAGAATTTATGTTGTTGCACGTGTTCAACAGGTAATCACAAACTGTAAAAGCAGAAATTTCCGTGGGGGATTAAATTTCATTTATTTTGTTGTTAACAATCATCAACGAAATTAAATCCCACACAAAATTTTAAATGACTATATATTGTATAGGGTTACTTTCGAAACAACAAAATTTAATGTCCACAAAACCTTTTTAGATGACAAATCAATGAAAATTTATCCCCACGAAAATTTGTTCTTCTACAGTATTCAATTTTTCGATAATTTATTAACATGCTTCAAGTTAATGCTTGTGTGAGAAATCTATGTCCATATTCACATGAACTTTTCAAACATGAATCACACCTTGTAAATGAACTTTAAGGTACATTATTTAAATCTCATTGTAGCTGGAGTGGATGAGAAAGCAAGTTGATATCCGGGATCCATACCAGAGTCCGTATGGAGCTGAGTGGGATGCCATGACCATGGACACATTTATCAATAACCAAATGTGGACTAAAGGTTAAAATGCCTTATTTTTTCTAATGCTCAGGTTTTATTTCATGTTTAAAGGGGATTAGGTATGTCAGCCAAATAGCTCAGTCAGTAGAGTACCCACATGTGTAGGGAGGTCCAAGGTGAGTCCCATTCTGACTGACATTTTTAAATGCCTGTTATATTGGCAACCTACAAAAAAACCCAGGGGTGGTTTGTAAGAGTCTCAGTGAAGTTATCAGTGTGGCAGACCTTAAGAAAAGGGGGACAAGAGTGTTACAGGGATTGGGTATGTTGGCCTGGTAGTTCAATAGTTAGACCACCATCAAGGTTATCGAGAGGTCCTAGGTTCGAGTCACAGTCTGACCAAAATTTTTCCCTGCCTTTTATACATGGTGTTGTGAAGTAATGAAAAAAATCATTCTTCTGAAAACAATCCATTCCACCGCATTTACATAAAAAAAATAAACATACGTCTTGTCACAAAAAGATATTACTCCAGCATATTTAAGTCAAAATATGAACTGCAATATTCTTCTTGTTACCGGTATATTGTCAGAGAAAAGAACTACAGCCATATGGATATTCATCAATCTGGTTAATGAGCTGGATTTTGTTTTCTTCAACAGGTGCAAAAGATACCATTGAGACTGCCAGTCGCTGTATGTTTGGCATAGAGTTATCGCAGATATCAGTTTTGTACTACATTAGTTATTTGAGTGGTGCTGGCAGTCTGAAAAATCTTATAGAGGCCACAGAATACACAGCGCAGGAGTACAGAATTATTGTAAGCTAATTCTGTTTTATGCATGGTAAAATAAAATATGTTTGGACCAACAAATTATTGTTAGTTTCTCTGGCCAAAATTTTCAAAATAAAATGTAGCAGGCAGGTTCTTTCTTTTTTTTTTGTTGTTGAGTAAATTACTGTAGTAGTATTCAGTTAAAAGATAAATTTCTGGGAAGAAATATTTCAAGCCAACTTTTATCCACAATTTTTTTAAGTAGTGCATTGTGAAGGTTTAAACATCAGAAACTGGATATTTTTATGTAATTTTTGTAGGGAGGAGCCCAGCAGATCAGTCAGAAGTTAGCAGCTTCCCTCCCTCCCTCTTGTGTTCAGCTACAACAACCTGTCAGCAAAATCATACAGGTTAGTTAGTCTAAACAAGATAGAGATATACATGTATTGTATATTCTTTTAATGATAAGCAGAAATCCTTTAAGATGTACAGTAATGTTGTGGATTAATATTTACATTTCCAACTGTTTTTCTATTTGATACTCTATTTGATACTCTTTGAAAGTCAAGTGTGTTGGTTTCTCGATATTTACAACTGAATGTATATTTCACAAAGTGAAAGGTCAAGTGACTAACATGCATGTTCGTACCGGTATCTCGCTGCTGTCTTTGTGTCTAAACTTGGTGGGGACGATGAAAAATAGCATGAAATGCCTTGTATATCTTTAATCTATTACACAGGATTTTTAAAAATATGTATTTACATTTTTCACATAAATGTAAATATAAGGAATCACTGTCTAATTTCTTGGGTATGCCAGGGAGATCAACGACAGTTGGAAACATAGGATAATTTATGCATAACATTAGTTGGAAACAGGATAATTTGCATAATTCGCCCATTATGCAAATTATCCCGTTTCCAACTAATGTTGAGGCCCTGACATACTAAACAAAGTAGAGAGTGATTACTTTTAAATAATATTACAAAAGAACAGAACATTTACTCTATGTGTTGTAGAAAATAGTTTTGAAATTATTCTCCTGAATTTAATTTTAGTCCAATTTCATTCAGGGTTATTACTTAGTAATGGAGAATCATTGGAAGTTCATACTAGGTACAAAGATTGCTTATGACCTGAGGATTTGTCATGACCTTGAAGGTCATTCCAGCAAATTCAAGGTCACTGGCAGAAAAAAAGTATTAAATTCTTGTCCGGGCTATGTGATGAAGAATCATTGAAAACTCATACTTGGTACACAGATTGTTTATAACCTGTGAGTGTGCCTTGACCTTGTCCCAAGGTCATTGCAGCAAGTTCAAGGTCACTGGCAGGAAAAGTATAAAATTCTAATTTGATCTACCACTTTTTGCATACCTCCTGCAAAGGTTGTTTATGACCTGAAGGTGTGTCTTGACCTTGAACTATGGTTGCTTGATGATTTGATGAAGTTCAAGGTCACATATAAAAAAATGTTAAATTCATGTCAGGTCTGTAGTTTTCTAATTATACCCCACGCAACAAGTTGCGTGAGGTATAATTTTTTGACCTGTCCTTCAGTCAGTCAGTCAGTCCTGTTTTTTTGTCAGCGCAACTCCTCATAAACCACTGCACAGAATTTCGTCAAACTTTGCAGATATTTAGGACACAATGTGTAGATATGCATATTACCAGGAAATTCCGATTCCTTTATTTTTTCTGGGAATTTCGGCACTTTTCAACTCAGATTTTTGGCCGCATCTTGAATATAGAGATGAACAGTTTGTCAGTGCAACTCCTCATAAACCGCTGCACAGAATTTCGTCAAACTTTGCAGATATTTAGCACACAATGTGTAGATGTGCATATGACCAGGAAATTCTGATTCCTTTATTTTTCTGGGAATTTTGACACTTTTCAACTTAGATTTTTGGCCATATCTTGAATATAGAGATGAACAGTTTGTCAGCGCAACTCCTCTTAAACCGCTGCACAGAATTTCGTCAAACTTTGCAGATATTTAGGACACAATGTATAGATGTGCATATTACCAGGAAATTCTGATTCCATTATTTTCTGGGAATTTTGGCACTTTTCAACTTAGATTTTTGGCCATATCTTGAATATAGAGATGAACAGTTTGTCAGCGCAACTCCTCTTAAACAGCTGCACAGAATTTCGTCAAACTTTGCAGATATTTAGCACACAATGTGTAGATGTGCATATTACCAGGAAATTCTGATTCCATTATTTTCCTGGGAATTTCGGCACTTTTCAACTTAGATTTTTGGCCATATTATGAATATAGAGATGAACAGTTTGTCAGCGCAACTCCTCTTAAACCGCTGCACAGAATTTGGTTAAACTTTGCAGATATTTAGCACACAATGTGTAGATGTGCATATGACCAGGAAATTCTGATTCCTTTATTTTTGCCTTAAGAGTTTTGCATATTATTGAAGAAACTTCCCAGCTAGGTAATAAGGAAATCCACTGGAATCAGCATTTGTAATGAAATTTTATGTGAAATATTTTATGACCTTAAAAGACCCCTGTTGATTTTGAGATCAAAATATTAATGATTTAACACACACACACACACACACAATCTTGGATAGTTCTCAGTCCCCCCTTCAAAAAATTGGTGCTTTGCCTTAAATAATTTCATAAGTACAGTATATAAACAAATTCATATGACTACATCATAATTTTGTTTCCATCAATTATTTAAATGTGTAAATTGTCATGTGTTGGACATGGACTTACACTCATTAACAAATCGAAATCACTAAGGAATTTAAATAACAGTTTGTCAGCATAACTCCTGCACTGAATTTCCTGAAACTTTGTAGGTATTTCAGACACAATGTATAGATTTGTATATTTCCAAGAAATTTTGATTCCATTATTTATTTAGAAACTTTAGCCCAATTAAATTTGTAACATACAAAGATTTGAATGTCCTTATATGCAAGAAGTTTTGATGTGATGATTTTTTGCAAGTAATGCCCCTTTTTGAATTATACTGTGTATTTAAAATGCACTGTGCCATTCATTATGTGTTGCATTGTTGAGTTTTGGGGGAGCGTGGGGTATGTGAGCTTGCTCACTTTTTCTTTCATGGATGGATGTCCATATTTCACTCTAAGATTACTATTGATCAGAGTACATCTTTTTTTTTAAGCTGTACTGGACAGAGATCAGAAGAGCTTATGCGATAGTAAGGTGTCCGACGTCCGTCCATCTGTCTAGCTGTCGATCTGTCTGTAAACAATTTTTCAAATTGAGTACAAAGAAGAGTACACTAAGATACACAATTTTTTGAATTGGTTTTTGATTTTGATGAATGTTTCCATGGTTACTAAAAATGGAAATTTGTGTGAAATTCCTTTAAAACGCTACTCCTCCAACAGTTTTAGTCTGATTTCAATATAACTTGTCTCACAAATAGACTACACTAAGCTACACAATTTAGTGCATTGTTTTTGATTTAAATGAATGATGTTTCCATGGTTACTAAAAATAGAAATTTCTGTGAAATTCCTTTAAACCTCTACTCCTCCTACATTTTAGGCCTGATTTCAGTATAACTAGGCACACAAGTAAAGGACACTAAGATACACAATTTTGTGCATCGGTTTTTGATTTCGATGAACGGTGTTGCCATGGTTACTAAAAATAGAAATTTCTGTGAAATCCCTTTAAAATACTACTCCTCCTACAGTTTTAGTCTGATTTCAATATAACTTGGCACAAAAGTAGATAACACTAAGATACATAATTTAGTGCATCGGTTTTTCATTTTGATGAATGGTTATGCCATGGTATTTTAAAAATAGAAATACATGTACTTTCAAAATGCTACTCCTCCTACAGTTTTGGTCTGATTTCAATATAATTTGGCATACAAGTAGACTACACTAAGATACATAATTTTCTGCATCGGTATTTGATTTCAATGAACAGTGTTGCCTTGGTTACTAAAAATAAAAATATCTGTGAAATTCCTTGAAAAGGCAATTCCTCCTACAGTTTTAGTCTGATTTCAGTATAACATAGCATGCAAGTAGACTACACTACATAATTTGAAGAATTGGTTTTTGATTTTGATGAATGGTTTTGCCAATGTTACTAAAAAAAGAAATTTCTGTAAAATTCCTTTAAAACGTTATTCCTGCTACAGTTTTGGTCTGATTTCAATCTAATTTGGCACACAATTAGAATACACTATGATACATAATATTGTATATTGGTACATGTATTTGATTTTGATGAAGGTGTTGCCATGGTTACTAAAAATAGAAATATCTGTGAAATTCCTTTAAAACGCAATTCCTCCTATGGTTTATTCTGATTTTAATATAACTTGGCACACAAGTAGATACATTTAGATACATAATTCTATTTATTGCTGCATGTTGCAAAGTTTCAAGTCCAAGTGCTTCTTTTCCTTTCTAAGTTTGTTATACATACAGACCAGTAGAGCTACAGTCTCATCAGAGACTTCTGGTTTCAATCGAAGTCATTTTGTCAAGTTCAAGGTCATATTTACAGTTTTTGGGCACTTCAGTTGCAGTCAAGGGTTATTATTTTATGAGCTCGCTCACAATGCTTCTAGTTAATACCTGTATAAGTACTACTGTAGGAGCACAAATTTTTGTGGGGATAATATTTGGTTGATTTGTCATCTAAAATAGTTTTGTTGGCATTTAATTTCATTGTTTTGAAAGTAACCCTATTCAATATATAGTCATATAAAAATTTCGTTTTGGATTTAATATCATTGATAATTGTTAACAACAAAATAAATGAAATTTAATCCCCCACAAATATTTTTGCTTTTACAGTATTTCCACTACTTTACTTTTTGTCAACTGGGTATCATTTTGAAATGTTACAGGGGGAAAATGGTGGTGTGACTGTGACAACAGAGAAGGGGGATGTGTACAATTGTGACAGATTAGTCCTGGCTATTCCACCCAACATGACAAGTAAGTCCCACAAGTAAATCTTAGTCCATTTTACATTTACTTTTCATTAATGTGACAAACTGAGATCTAATAAAAAGAAAAAAAATTTCATAGATTTTCAACATCATTGCTAAATTTTTAAAATCTATTGAAATCGGAGATATTGATAAAATAACATAGTTGTTAATGGGATGTTGGAATGGAATGAATAATTTATACCAAACATTTCCTCAAGGTTTCGAAAAAAAAATTGAGTCGAGCCATTTTTAGTCTGTCAGTCATGAGAAGGCAAACAGACAATTTCTTTGAAAGATGGGTGAACTTTCTGGTTCTACAGTGCTGTCGACTTTATTTGAACTAGTCCTTATTAGGCACAGCAACTGAAAACGAGAGCTTTTCATCATATGATGATCCTGATGAATACCTCATAAAAATCTAGAGTTTTCCCCTTCACATTGAGTGGATCTGATTTTTTTCCTTATTTTTCTTTTACATTTCCTGTAGATAAAATTCAGTTTGACCCTTTGCTACCTTCAAGCAAAAGAGAACTCATAAAAAGGATGCCTGCTGGGAATCTAATCAAAGTAATTGTCACTTACAGAGAGGTAAATGTTATTTTAATTTTATTTTTCAGCAGTTTATTATTCTTATTCAGTTAAGTTTTTGTTTATAGAATAGATTAAAAAAATAGAAATATGAAGTACATGTATTTTTCTTGATACTTTTTAATTTTTTCACTACAATTTTGCACAAATAATATTAACGACGACGGACCTAATTCATTTCTGCAATAGATTTTTTATTCAAATTTTAATATGAGGTAAAGTGTCCTTTGGTGAGTTAAAATCAATAAAAAAAAATCATATGGTCATCGATGTAGATTTTTAATGGGGAGCATTTCAAAAGTTGGCGATGGAAATCGATAATTACTATAGGAAGTAATGGGAAATTGCCAGTGTAGGGTATAAGAGTGATCATTGAAAAAATTCTGCAAAAGAATTTTTATTCATATTAAATGACAATGTGAACAAGACAATTTACCAGCAAATTATGCCAAAAAATAAATGGGTCATTGGCTTAGATTTTTCAGGGGGCATGTTGAACTCAGATGTAGGGCACATTTTGGGGGAAATTTTAAATGAAAATAACTTAATTGGCCAAATAAATCATTTATTTATAAAATCAACAAATGAGTATAAATCGAAATATTTACAATATTTTTGAATTGAGAGGAAACGTTTGAATATCTTTAAAAGAATTAAGAATATATATTTTTTATCTTTTGCAATACATAATTAAGTCAATTTGATTCAAGGCATATGCGCAGTTTTCTGCGCAGTGGCGTGAAATTTTGAATTAGGTCCGTCATCCTTAAATCAGAATATGACTCACAAATAGGAGTGTATGCCATATAAGTTTTCCTATCTCTTTTCGCAGCACTAGGGCATGTAAACCCTTTGCATTCATTACATCTGATTGCTTTTACCTGGTTGCTGCTGGATTTAAGAACATGTACATCTTACATTTTCCTTTTTATTTACGTTTTAGTTCAGTGAACATTCATAAGTATTTATTTCACTTTGCAACTCATTGGCCTGTACAACTGATATTGAATATCTTCTCTTTGGTAACTTTTTCCCCTGACACAGAAGTTATTTTGTTGCACCAAAGTATATCACAATGACAATGAAATAGACATTGTTTAGGTATAAACTCTGTGATGCAAAATGAAAACGTGAACAAAGCTGACTTTTGTAGGGGCTGGAGAAGGATAATCTTGAGAAGATTAATATGGCAAACAAAGATGACACTCTTCCTTTTACAAATCATGTTTAGTTTTAATATTTTCTTTGTATTTACCTTAATAATGTTGACTAATAGCTCATTGACATGATCTGACATCATTCAGGCATTCTGGAGGAAAGCTGGTTTATCAGGAGAATTTGTAACCAATGGTGGACCTAGTATGTCAACTGAATGTGATAGGGGTCCACTCTGTATTGCATATGATGCCACATCAGCCAGAGGAAATGCTGCCATAGTAACATTTCTGGGAGGGGCACCTGCCATACAGTGGGGCAATCAAAAGGTTAGATTTGCATTGAAAGTAAAGAATAATGTAATTAAACAATTTGCCCTTTAGGAAATAATACTTTGCAATTAGAGTGTATTTCATTTCTTCTTGTCAAAGTTATGCATCTACCTTTTCAGCTAACAGAGCCCAAAAGCTCAAGTGAGCTATTATAAATGAAGTTTACATGTAGTCCATTTCTCTATTTGTCTGTCCCATTGTCTAACTTTGTCTTTAACTGATTTACTTCTCTGACTTCCTCAACAGAACCACTTAAATTAAGATTGTAGATTTTTCTTTTACAACTCTGATGTCAAATAAATGACAAATATCAAAAGACAGTTTTTTGTCTTTTGATTACCGGTATACAAGTGTATTTGAAATAATATTCATTTCAAAAGTTTTACTCTTGTAAATATAATGTTGACATGTGGCAGGACATTTTCAAAGCACGATGACATTGAATATTCTGTTCATGTCCAATCAGTTTCAAGCATTGACATCTAGAGAGAACCTCCTCCACAAAATATAGACTCTTTTTAACTTCATGTTTAATTTTTTTTCTGTAAATTGATCAACTAAAAAAGATTCACAAAAGTAATATACATAAAGTGAATTTTTAATTAATTTAAAACGTACATGTACATTTTCAAATTTTTAAATCCTTGACCAATGAGAATGACAGATTATTAAGTTAAATGTGCTGTTACAGGAAGAAGACAGGAGATCCGCAGTGTTAAAATCCTTGTCAGATTTCCTAGGACCCGAGGCTCGGAATTATCTGGACTATGTAGAAAAAGACTGGAGTGTAGAGTCCTATAATGAAGGCTGTCCTGTATGTACCGTAGGACCAGGGGCAATGGCTTACTTTGCTGCAGGACTTAGACTTCCCTTCAATAGGTACCTACACATTATTTTTGAGAAGTAGCCATTCAGATAATATATGAGAATATAACAAGTTAGCTATCCACAAATCTGCATATCCTCAATTTTTTTTGTCCAAACCACAAAATTTGATCCCCAGTACCATTGATGAAACTGCAGTAGACTAAGTGTACATCAAAGTTTATACTCAAAGTGATTTTAAAATCATTTTCTCAAAAACTACAAGGTTATAAGAACAATTTGGCCAGAAATGATAAATACCTATATGAAAACTTCATTTTTTTTTTAAAACCTATGGCTGCCAGGGTATGGGAATGATAAAAGAACAGGAGTCCAAATCCTTACATTGAAATATGTAGGAAAAAATCCCCAAAATCTTCTCAAGAACTACATGCACATAATTTTTTGTTCCCCACTTTTGCGAAAACGAGGGGACATTAAATCTCATTCATCTGTCATTCTGTCAGTCTGTCACAAAAACTTTAACCTTGGTCATAACTTTTGAATGAGAAGAGAAAGGGCTTTCATATTTCACATGTACATTACCTGTGACCTTTCCAAGAATACTATGCTTTTTTGACCCCATGACCTTGAAGTTTGACCTACTTATCAAAAAACTTATCTTTGCTTTTAACTTTTGATTGAGAAAAAGATAGGGCTTTCATATTATATATGTACATTACCTATGACAAGATGTTTCCGAGCATGCTATGATTTTTTACCCCTTGACCTTGACCGTCATGTTTGACCTAATTTTCAAAAATTTTAATTTTAGCGATTACTTTTAAATGACATATGAAAGGGCATTCATATTTGACAAGTGTATTACCTGTGTAAAATGTTTCCGAATGTGCTGATATTTGACCCTGTGACTTTGACCTTCACGTTTGATAGCTTTTGATTGAGAGAAGATATGGCATTTACATTTGACAAATCTTTGCCATAACTGTTATTTATTCAATAGTTTATGTCTTTTTTGTATGATGCACAGACAAGACAGGACACACAAACAAGACAGTTACAATATGCCATAAATAATAGCATCCCATCCACTAAGACACCGAAAGAGGGAGACCACAGTTCTTTGAATTTGCTTGTTTTTCCAAATTTATCTGCATGCCACATCATGTAGTTTAAAATATGTTTGTTTAATTTCTGATATAGGTTTTAAAAATTACTCTCAAAAGTGACACTACATGTTGTCAAATTAATATAAAAATATCCTCATGTACTAGGTTGTTTGCATCAGTTCCCTTATTTTTTACTTCCAAGAAACAGGATATACTGTTTGGTTTTTAGAAATCATCATAAATTGAGAAGTATGATTGTTTTAATTTGTTTTAGAGGTTACATTTGAGAAACAGATTTTTTTTTTGGGAGGGGTGGGGGGTGGGGGGGGGGGGGGGTTTGCTGTTTTGTGGTTATTTGAAAGTTTTTGAAAATTCTCAGGATTCATTTTGCTGGGACAGAATCGGCCACAGTTTGGTGCGGCTTTATGAATGGTGCAGTCCAGTCGGGCCTCAGAGCTGCAAATGAAGTGCTATTTCACCTTCGACCTCAGGCTGTGTCTGCACAGGAACTTGCTACAACAGCTTATGGGCCCTCCAGCGTCCTTCCACGCATCAAACCAAAGGAAAGCAGGTCAAGGACAATTGTCAAGGTCACTCTTGGATTAGGAGCTGTGGTTGCCATAGTTATCATAGGGAAAAGAGTTGCCAGCAGTCTTAATGAGAAGTAAATATAACCAGACATTTTCAAACTTTTAAAATCAATACAATCATGTTATTTTCTCTACTTAACCAAACAGTGGCTTTGATTGTGTCCCAAAATCTTATAAAATGCATTGGTCTTAAAGTGTCCTCTTTTTTTCTCAGGTTCACAGAGTCAGTTTCAAGAATCATTATTATGTAACACCTTGCCTTATTCTTTGTTAATGTTTAGACTGTGTGAAATTATATTTTTAGTGAGTACTTAGTAATAACTTTCAATCTTCCAGGAAGTGCATAGTATTTGTAAGATTTTGGTATGTGTATTAAAAAGGTGATAGGAATACATGTAAAATGTCTCTTGATTATGTGCCAAATTCTTGTTATATTGTCCATTTTTGTAATTATAAAATGACATGATAACATTCCAGCTTTAATTTTTATTGATTAAGGCCAGCTTTAAAAAAAATGTTTGCTTGCATGCCTTCTCCCAACTCAGGATAAAAGAGGTGGGTAGGTAGTTAGGGAATTTTATATATATAATTCAAAAATACTTGCGAATATGAAGATAAAATAGTTATTAATGGGATGAAAAAACTTTGGAATGAATAAAAAATTATTGTTTCCTGGAGGATAAAAAAAGTTTAGATTCGGCCATTTTTAGTCAGTCGGTCGGAAAGGACAAACAAACAATTTTTTAAAGATGGTCTAATCAAGCTTATTTTTTCTAGGATAAACATAAACTGTCATAGTTGAGAGGTCTTTGATTAGTTTTTATTTCAATTTATGGCATCTTTTTTGTGCCATATAGAAGCAAATTACTTCTTTTATGCATTTTATTTCTTAAACATAAAATGTTGTCTAGAAAATGAAATTTAATGCTATGTTAACTCATCCTATGGTGAATATGTAGCTTTTGATGAATAAATTACCTTCATTAACTGGTAGAGTTACTGGGACAAATTACCGGTATAGAAATGTTTAACTTTGTCTTCTCTAATTTCATTTATGTATATCTGGATTTCCAATTTACACAGGGAAAAAAAAGAACTAGAAACCTTGTTGCCAAGGCAACAAGAAGGTCTTCTGTCCCTCCTCTGTCTTCAGAGAAGTTGAATCCTCACTAAACAACTTGTTATGTTGTGCATTCCCTGTAACATCTTCATATATAAAATATAATTAAAGTTAACATTTAAATTTTGAAAATATTGCAAAACTGGAACGAAAAAAAAAATACGAGACATCATTTAAAGGGGAGGGGGGGATGTCCATAAAGTCTTTGTGTGAATTTCTATTAAACTTTGATATTCTCACACTTAAATTGTACAAAATCTAAAATTATGATAAGATTTTTTTTTATTTTAAGGACTATCTACATTGATTTGTTTATTCCACCTGATTTCATGCATTTGGTTACCCCCCCCCCCCTTCCCTGAGTCAGCACCACACACGCATAACAAATTGATTGACAATTTACCGATGTATTCCTTGAAAGCATATTTTTTCACATACTGTTTTGAGTATACAGATGTTTTGTGTTCTATTGTTTTAATACACTGTATCATTAATTAACCATACCTTTATGCGCTAAGTCGCTTTGAGCTCTTAATTATGACGGATTTTACTCTGAACTAAATGTCATTAAAGTTTTTTTCCCTCTCATCTGAAATTGCTATTTGTTATTGAATTGAATAATGAATTGTACTTTCAAAATATAATTTGACAAATCTCCAACTTGTGATTCAATTGCATAGGTACCTAGCTACATTTACATTTACCTTGCTTTGTCATATCACAATTGCATGTTTGCGCATTAATTAGTGCAAAATTCAACTTCAAATTCTTTATGAATAAGTAAAAAGACACACTGCTATTGTGAAGTCAAACACCATTGCTTTGACGTTGAACGACATCCCCCCCCCCCCCCCCCCACCTTTAAAGATAAAATCTTACAATTGAACCCAAACAACAGTGTGAAATCAGACATTCTGGGGAATGAATACAAGTCGCCTGTGTGGAAATTCAACACGCTAACTTTTACGCGATCAGAAAATAATAAATTCTACTTTCAAAATATAATTTGACAAATCTCCAATTTGTGATTCAATTGCATAGGTACCTAGCTACGTTTACCTTGCTTTGTCATATCACAATTGCATGTTCGCACATTAATTAGTGCAAAATTCAACTGCAAACTCTTTATGAAGGAGTAGAAAGACACACTGCTATTGTGAAGTCAAACACCATTGCTCTGACGTTGAACGACATCCCCCCCCTCCTACCTTTAAAGATGAAATCTTTCAAAGACCTTTGCATCAAAGTAGCAAGTAATACATATCTAGAGTACGGGTTAATCAATTTTTAGCATTCTGATAAGACTCTCTATATAACCTATAAATATAATAAAAAAATAATGAAAAACAAAAAAGTTCAAAAAAATACCCTTTTTAAATCGCTTCCTGTGACGACCGGAAGTGCCGATGACACACAAAATGTTTTCATCATACATTTACGAATCACCTTCTATCATACCTGAAAGTTTCAGACTCCTACCTTTAACAGTTTCTGAGAACATTCACGGACTAGATTTTTAGTGGAAAAAGTGAAAAATCGTTATAATTCCTGACCGGAAGTAAATTTTTCCAATTTTTTCCAATATTTTAAAATGGCATGAGATTACACATCACTCCTGAAAATTTGGATGAAAATCATTGAGCAGTTTTTGAGATATCGCGATTTGAAAAGGTCAAACAAATAAAAATGAAAAATAATAATAAGAAACAGTAGAATCACTAAAAGGTCTTCAGTGAAGACGGAAGACCTTAAAAATACATATTTATAAGTGAGGAAGTTAGGCAATTTGGAATTGAACATTCCAATGTCTTAATTTAATAAGTATTGCTTAATTAATGATTGATGTCAAGATTTTAAAATGATTTAATGATTTGTCATGTCTATTGTTTCATTCTTAAAATAAAGCATTTTAACTATTTATTGTGTTTATTTTATGAATATATACTTGAAGATTTAAAAAAAAAATGGTCTAGGAATATATTTCAAATGTGTATTGTTTGGATCAAAAGTATAATATATTTCAGATGTGTATTGTTTGGATCAAAAGTATAATCTTGAGATGTACATTTTGTATATTTCATAAAAATAAAAACCATCAATATTTATTTCATTATATCCATTATATCCAAACTTTCTAAAGAATATATAATTATATGATTATCTCAGTCTGTCTGTCTGTCTGTCACATTCTTTTCTACAACATATAAATTTGAGATGGAAGCCAATCTTTTTTTTAATGCTTGGTGATGTTCTGTAGACATGCAGTTTCAGAATATTCGCTTTCATCCTATTGGCCAATTTGGGTAAAAAAAGATGTTTTTCTACAAAATACCTACTCTTAGAAAAATTCTTACATTTTACAAAGTAGCCATAAGGAGTTGATCCTTATGTCTTGAGTTTGAATCCCACTGTGGGATGTGGAGACTAGTCCCTCCAATGAGACCATATAAATAGAGGTCCCGTGTCGCAGTCGGTGCTGGCACGGAAAAGATCCCTCACTGCTCAATGGCCTTAAGTGTCGAGTATAGGTAAAAAACTTGCAGCTCTCCACCAGCAAGTGGTGGCGTCTCCATATGAGTGAAAAATTCTTGAGAGGGACATTAAACAATAAAAACAAACAACCAAAGTAGCCATATCATCGATTGTAATTTGACTGATGGTGTCCTGTGCATGTGCAATAAAGGTTTCATACATTACATCCTGGGGGCCGAAAGACCTTTCCAGAACTTTTTTAAGACAGAATTTTTGCTTCATTAAATTCTTTAACTGAGACTGGTAATGAATTAATTACGGTAATAACAAATTAGTTGCATGACTGTTGGGTTATGATGAGCAAGGGTGCCTCTTCAAATATTGTGAAATTCATGGTCCCTGGGTCAGAGATTCTGGTGTTATGTGGGAGGGGGGGGGGGGGAGGGGCTCTATTGAGCTTGTAGTGAAAATGTATTTATTTTCTGAAAATCTTATCTGCCCCTGTGTATTCTGCAGACAAACTAAGTTCATGGTTATAAAGAGCAAGGGTGCTTCTTTAAAAATTGTGAATTTCATGGTCCCTGGGTCAGGGGTTCTGTTGTTAGGATGGTGCTTTCTTGATTATATAGTGAATATTCATGAATTCTTTGAAAATCTGGGTATCTAGGAGGCAAACAGAATACAAAGTGCTAATGAGCAAGGGTGTTTTTACCAGATTTGAGAAATTCTGGACCACTGGGTCTTGTCTTCCGGTGCTGAGCAGGAAATTTGCACTCTACTTAGAGAAGTTATTCCCCTTTACTATTCACTTATGATACACATATGATAGATATGACAATTGAATAAAAGAATTATACAAGAATTTTTAATGTATATAATACAAAAAGTACTTTCATCATTTTTAATGGTAAGGTAGACTTGTAAATAAAAGATAAATATGAAACAATCTTTAAATACCTTATCTTTGTTCATAATAGATCCTTCCAAGATCAAAAGGGGCCATTGTGAGAGGAAATGGAATGGTTGTACTATAATGTGTGCATAGTAATTGGGAGTGTATTTTGCACTAGCAAGTACAGGCAAGTAAATACACGTAGAAATACATGTACTTTATGATTTGTTACTGAGTACTAGACTATTTTGTTGATCCCTGATCATCCTATATCTCTTGCTTTTGGGCAACAAAGCTTCATCTATCGGTTTATTATACCCCTGCTTGAAAGGTGGGGAGTATATAGTGATAGAGTGTGTCCATCCTTCCATCTAGATGTCTGTCCGTCCATCCTTCAGTTACACTGGGGTAAGCCATCTCTTATCTGCAACTCCAAAATCCCAAATCTTTATTACGTACATAGTGGCATAATGTGCATCTTCTATTTCACGTTTTGATCAGACATATTGGACACTGCAATTCTTTCTATAATTCTTTACCAAAAGTGTAAAAGAACTGCAAACGCTAACTCTCGATTCCCACCTACATTTAGAAAATGTTCATTGAAACCGGACTTTAAAATGTGACCGGATTTTAAAATAATCCAGAATATGAATAAATGACCACTTTATCTTTCGGTATGTTTAACTTATTTTAAAATTAACCGTATATCATTCATTTAATAATATTTTGTAGTTGTATATCATTTGAAATTGGTCATAAAATGAACATTTTCGGTGTATTTTGGTCCATAAACATACCCCCCCCCCCCCCCCAAACTCCCGTCTTATGATAGCATCTAGTTTTAGATTTGTAATGAATTTATTATATGAAATACTAATACAAGTGCATATAACTATTGTTGCATCTTTGCTAGTTACCTAGCACAGATAATTGTTTCTGTAATAATTTTTTTAGCCCATAGTATAATAATAACACAAGGTATCTAACTCTGAATTACATATTATTATTATACTATAGTTACTATGAACATTTATTGAAGAAAGTGTCTGTGTTACCCAGGTAAGAAGAAGAGTAAATTTAGAAGCAATCACTTGCGCGTGGGTGTCATTGCCTCCCCCTTTTTTAAACAGAATTTATGCTCTGTTATATATTTTTTTTTATTATGACCGCACTTTCTGAAGATAGTTTTGGTACATTTGTACATATTTATTGATATCCTGGCCCATTTGTCCCAATATCTTGCAGGTCCGTAGAACGCGGGGGTTGTTTTTTTTTTGGGGGGGGGGTGTTTTTTTTTTTTGTTTTTTGTTTTTTGCTTGTCAGATTATTTTTGGATTGTTG